TATCTTTTTAGATAGCTCTGTGTGGTTGTAGAAAGTAAAAGCACACAGTTTGCCTTAATTAGCAGAACACATAAGGGCTTTATAAAAATGACTAATTGATTTTTTTAAGCTGGGTCGGGGTGGGTTTCCATTTTAACATATAAAAACTGATAAATAATTCACCTTATCATTGGAATTTTCCATTAACCCCGACCCTCCCAGAATCTGGCAAATAATCTTCCCATTAACCCTGACCCTCCCAGAATACTGCAAAGAATCTTCTTATTAACCCTGACCCTCCCAGAATCCTGCAAATAATTTTCCTATTAACCCCGATCCTCCCAGAATCCTGCAAAGAATCTTCCTATTAACCCTGATCTTACCTGAAACCTGCAAAGAATATTCCCATTAACCCTGATCCTTCCAGAACCTGGCAAAGAATCTTCCCATTAAACCTGACCCTTCCAGAATCCTGCAAAGAATCTTCCCTTTAACCCTGACCCTCCCAGAATCCTGCAAAGAATCTTCCCATTAACCCTGACCTTCCCAGAATCCAACAAAGAATCTTCCTATTAACCCTGACCCTCCCAGAATCCAACAAAGAATCTTCCTATTAACCCTGACCCTCCCAGAATCCAACAAAGAATCTTCCTATTAACCCTGACCCTTCCAGAATCCTGCAAATAATCTTCCCTTTAACCCTGACCCTCCCAGAATCCTGCAAAGAATCTTCCCATTAACCCTGACCTTCCCAGAATCCAGCAAATAATCTTCCTATTAACCCCGACCCTTCCAAAATCCGGCAAAGAATCTTCCCATTAACCCTGACCTTCCCAGAATCCAACAAAGAATCTTCCTATTAACCCCGACCCTCCCAGAATCTGGCAAATAATCTTCCCATTAACCCTGACCCTCCCAGAATACTGCAAAGAATCTTCTTATTAACCCTGACCCTCCCAGAATCCTGCAAATAATTTTCCTATTAACCCCGATCCTCCCAGAATCCTGCAAAGAATCTTCCTATTAACCCTGATCTTACCTGAAACCTGCAAAGAATATTCCCATTAACCCTGATCCTTCCAGAACCTGGCAAAGAATCTTTCCATTAAGCCTGACCCTTCCAGAATCCTGCAAAGAATCTTCCCTTTAACCCTGACCCTCCCAGAATCCTGCAAAGAATCTTCCCATTAACCCTGACCTTCCCAGAATCCAACAAAGAATCTTCCTATTAACCCTGACCCTCCCAGAATCCAACAAAGAATCTTCCTATTAACCCTGACCCTCCCAGAATCCAACAAAGAATCTTCCTATTAACCCTGACCCTTCCAGAATCCTGCAAAGAATCTTCCCTTTAAACCTGACCCTCCCAGAATCCTGCAAAGAATCTTCCCATTAACCCTGACCTTCCCAGAATCCAGCAAATAATCTTCCTATTAACCCCGACCCTTCCAAAATCCAGCAAAGAATCTTCCCATTAACCCTGACCTTCCCAGAATCCAACAAAGAATCTTCCTATTAACCTGACCCTCCCAGAATCCAACAAAGAATCTTCCCATTAACCCTGACCCCCCCTCCGAATCTTGCAAAAAATCTTCCCATTAGCCCTGACCCTCCCAGAATCCTGCAAAGAATCTTCCCATTAACCCTGACCCTCCCAGAATCCAGCAAATAATCTTCCCATTAACCCTGATCCTTCCTGAATCCTGCAAAGAATATTCCCATTAACCCTGATCCTTCCAGAATCTGGCAAAGAATATTCCCATTAAACCTGACCCTTCCAGAATCCTGCAAACAATCTTCTTATTAACCCTGACCCTCCAAGAATCCTGCAAAGAATTTTCCCATTAACCCTGACCCTCCCAGAATCTGGCAAAGAATCTTCCCATTAACCCGTACCCTATCAGAATCTGTCAAATAATCTTCCCAATGACCTTGACCCTCCAGAATCCTGCAAAGAATCTTCCCATTAACCATGACCCTCCCAGAATCCAGCAAATAATCTTCCCATTAACCCCGATCCTTTCAGATTACGGCAAAGAATCTTCCCATTAACTCTGACCCTTCCAGAATCCGGCAAAGAATCTTCCCTTTAACCCTGACCCTCCCAGAATCCTGCAAAGAATCTTCCCAATAACCATGACCCTCCCAGAATCCAACAAAGAATCTTCCTATTAACCCTGACCCTTCAAGAATCCTGCAAAGAATCTTCCCATTAACTCTGACCCTCCCAGAATCCAACAAAGAATCCTGCAAAGAATCTTCCCAATAACCATGACCCTGATCCTTCCAGAATCCCAACAAAGAATGACCCTTCCAGAATCCTATCTTCCCTTTAACCCTGACCCTCCCAGAATCCTGCAAAGAATCTTCCCATTCCTGCAAAGAATCTTCCTATTCCCATTAACCCTGACCCTCCCAGACCCTGACCCTCCCAGAATCCAAAGAATCTTCCCATTAACCCTGACCCTCCCAGAATCAAGCAAATAATCTTCCCATTAACCCTGATCCTTCCAGATTCCGGCAAAGAATATTCCCATTAACTCTGACCCTTCCAGAATCCGGCAAAGAATCTTCCCTTTAACCCTGACCCTCCCAGAATCCTGCAAAGAATCTTCCCATTAACCCTGACCCTCCCAGAATCCAACAAAGAATCTTCCTATTAACTCTGACCCTTCAAGAATCCTGCAAAGAATCTTCCCATTTACCCTGACCCTCCCAGAATCCTGCAAAGAATCTTCCCATTAACCCTGACCCTCCAATAATCCAACAAAGAATCTTCCTACTAACCCTGACCCTTCCAGAATCCTGCAAATAATATTCTCATTAACCGTGATACTTCCAGAATCTGGCAAAGAATCTTCCCATTAAACCTGACCCTTCCAGAATCCTGCAAAGAATCTTCCTATTAACCCTGATCCTTCCTGAATCCTGCAAATAATATTCCCATTAACCCTGATACTTCCAGAATCTGGCAAAGAATCTTCCCATTAAACCTGACCCTTCCAGAATCCTGCAAAGAATCTTTCCTTTAACCCTGACCCTCCCAGAATCCTGCAAAGAATCTTCCCATTAACCCTGACCTTCCCAGAATCCAACAAAGAATCTTTCTACTAACCCTGACCCTTCCAGAATCCGGCAAAGAATCTTTCCTTTAACCCTGACCCTCCCAGAATCCTGCAGAGAATCTTCCCATTAACCCTGACCTTCCCAGAATCCAACAAAGAATCTTTCTACTAACCCTGACCCTTCCAGAATCCTGCAAAGAATCTTCCTATTAATCCTGATCCTTCCTGAATACTGCAAATAATATTCCCATTAACCCTGATACTTCCAGAATCTGGCAAAGAATCTTCCCATTAAACCTGACCCTTCCAGAATCCTGCAAAGAATCTTTCCTTTAACCCTGACCCTCCCAGAATCCTGCAAAGAATCTTCCCATTAACCCTGACCTTCCCAGAATCCAACAAAGAATCTTTCTATTAACCCCGACCCTTCCAGAATCCGGCAAATAATCTTCCCATTAACCCTGACCTTCCCAGAATCCAACAAAGAATATTCCCATTAACCCTGATCCCCCCCAGAATCCGGCAAAGAATCTTCCCATTAACCCCGACCCTCCCAGAATCCAACAAAGAATCTTCCCATTAACCCTGACCCTCCCAGAATCCGAAAAAAGCTTTCCAGTGAATCTCACCCCTCCCAGAATCCTGCAGAGTGCCATTAATTAACCACATCCCACCTGGTATCCTGCAGATTAGCTTTAATTAACACTGATACTTCAACAACAAAAAATGTGATCTATTCCACTATTTCCCAACCTCACAAGACATTCACTGGCATAACACATCATGTACAAAGCTACATGTCATTAAGCCTTTCCCTTCCATCACTCTGTTATGCTGCCTTGAATTTACAAAGTACAAATACTTTAACCCTTCTCATACTGATTAATGTTATAGAGCAGGACACGCAGACACTGTCACTTTAATCATACTGAATGCTTTACATCGTATAGATCGGGGTTTATTCACTAGGGACAGAACTGTTGTGAACTGAAAACTGAATTGTAAAATAGGAAAAAATGCTCCATTTAGCGATAGCCACAGTTTAGTAATTTGTTTTAGCATATGTTTTCAATACAATTTTCAATTCAAATAATATTGAATAGACTGTTATTGTTGTATTCATGAAACAGTAAACTGAGAACCAAACTGTGAGATATAGGATAAACTGGGGGAAATTAAACAGCTGTTTCAGAGAATTAATCAAATGCAGCTACTTTGGCCTAACATTCCAGAATTTGCATGTTGGTTTTCTATCTATCTATCTCTATTTATCTATCTATGTATCTTTCTCTCTCTCTCTCTCTCTCTCTATCTATCTAACTATATCTCTATCTATCTATCTATCTATCTATGTATCTTTCTCTCTCTCTCTCTCTCTCTCTCTCTCTCTCTCTATCTAACTATATCTCTATCTATCTATGTATCTATGTATCTCTCTCTCTCTCTCTCTATCTAACTATATCTCTATCTATCTCTCTCTCTCAATCAATCTATCTATCTCTCTCTCTCTCTATCTATATCTATCTATCTATCTATCTCTATCAATCTATCTATGTATCTCTATCAATCTCTCTCTCTCTCTCTCTCTCTCTCTCTATCTTCATGTATATATAATGCTGTGCATATTTAAGTATGTTAGAAACTGTTTTGTTTCTTTTGTTGACATGTAACACCCATCATTCTCAGCCATCCCTTGGTAGTTGGCATGCAGCCACAGGCTGGCATCTCCCAGTATATAGGGTCTCCTGTGTGACGGCCTGTGAAGGGTTACATTGGCAGTATTGGTAGCAATGAGCTATTTATACCAGGCTGTGGCTGTTACAGCCAGCAGGCTGTTCGCACACCCCTCTGTGTGTGTGTGTGTGTGTGTGTGTATATATACACAAGCATGCGAGACAGAGGAAGGATGCTCTGTCAGAGGCTAGGGTCAGTGCTCCCTGAAACATGCTGAGTTTCGCAGAAGAGGCACAGAGGATTTGGAGTGAACCCCCAAAATTCAGGGGTCCACATATATCCACTAGAGATCTGCAAGATCTTTAGAGCATCGCTCATTGAGTCCTTCACTGAGCCTGCAGAGTATCTTCCAATCAGCACCTGAGTCCGCAGAACATTGCTCCATTGCTTCGTTACTGAATCTGCAGAGCATTGTGATATCAGGCGTCTGACTTATTCCACAGAGCATTTCTCATCAGCACCTGACGCTACAAACCATCACTTAAATTCATCAGTCTTCTAGAGGGTCCACAAAGCATCGGACTATTGATTCTGAGACGACTGAGCAAAGCCCATCTGTTCTAAAACTTGCAGAGCTTATTTCTCATTACCTCCCTATACCCTGCAGCACTTTGAACGTCCGTTTTAATATAGTCTACAGCGGCATCTTTACAATCCCTATGATATTGCTTGCAAAGTTCCTTTAAGACCCACTGAATGTGACGCTGATGTGATTAGTTCAGTTTTTCCAAATCCTGTGTCCACCGGAGACGACTTGTCTGTTAAATCATACTTGCTGCTTTGAGACGGTTCTTTTAATGTTGTCTACTGATGATCGATCCGTCCCACTTTCCCCCAGTTGTCTCACAGTAATCTTCACAATGTTTCTTCAGGGTGCGTAGACTTTGTAGATATTTTTCTGGAAGGTACGTTAGAAGATACAGGTGTTACCGTCTTAAAAGACATTCTTCATGCCAACTCCCCAAACTGGCACATGGATTCCTTCTGTTTCATCTGCTTTCATCGGAAGGCCATGCAACAACTGCCGGGTGCAAGGTAGGAAGGATGCATGACTGGTGCTTCGATGGTAAACAATATAATATACATTGTGATTAAATATATACACAATGTAGTGTATGCATTTAGACATGTGTGCCCACTCTTGGCCTTCCAGGTATTGAGAACAGGCTGGGGATTATGGGAAATATAGTTCAACAACAGTTGGAGAGCTGAAGTTTCACACCTCAGGAACTAATGTAAGCTAAAGGCTGTTCAAAAATAGTCATCCCAACCCCCCAACGTTCTGAAGGAGGCATCACAACTACAGAAGTGGTGTAGTTGCGCCAAAGTGACATGGTGTGAATAAGTATGTGCTAACTGGAGCCATCGAAAAGTAAATATTTTGTCTGAACTGATTTAGAAGAAATAGTTGCAAACGTTAGACTAATCTTAGATATATAAAAAGTGTTCACATTTATAGCCAGAATCTAGTTTTGAATTTTGCAAAATTAAAATTGGGATTTTAATTTGCACAAATACACGAGATTCTATTCTGACACCTGTAATTGGGTTTATATCGAAAGAGAGCAAATCCGTTCTAAAATGGCTCTAAATGTGCTGTTAGCAGCGACACAATATATTCACACCTCCCTATAGTGTCTTCCTTGTGAACAAGTTTGCTTCTGAAACTGACAGGCACAGACAACTTCCAGCAATTCGGATGCCAACTCCCATGATTCCACATCAGCTGCAGCAATGGCTGTGCATCACTGGTTCTAAAGTCCACTGGATCCCTACCTAGGTCTTTGGAGGTCTATACTCTTTAATCGTGCCTATATTATATAACACGTCCACGCAGAAGACAATTTTTTTTTTTTTTTCTGATGAGTGGCAATAAGCACTCAGCCATGTCCTATCAAGGATACTAACCAGATGCTAATTGTGATTGTTGCACCTGTGTCCAAATGGTCCTTTAGACTGCAGTCTGTGCAGTCGGCATTCATGGCTTATGTATTATTAAAGTAAAAAAAAGTTTAACCCCCCTGAGTAAAGGAAAAGGAAAGTATTCTTCACAGTAAGAACATTAACCCCTTAAGGACCAAATTTCTGGAATAAAAGGGAATCATGACATGTCACACATGTCATGTGTCCTTAAGGGGTTAAAGGGACACTCCGGGCACCCAGACCACTTCAGCCCATTGGAGTGGTCTGGGTGCCAACTCCCACTACCCTTAACCCTGCAAGTGTAATTATTGCAGTTTTTTATAAACTGCAATAATTACCTTGCAGGGTTAACTCCATCTCTAGTGGCTGTCTACTAAACAGCCACTAGAGGGCACTTCCTGGTTTCTAGCACAGAACACCTGTGCTAGAATGTCGCTGGACGTCTTCACGCTATGTGAGGACCTTCAGCGTTGCTCATTTCCCCATAGGAAAGCATTTAAATGCATTTTTAATGCTTTCCTATGGGGAGCGCTAATGCGCATACGCGGGCATTGCCGCGCATGTGCATTAGGTCTCCCTGGCCGGTGGGCGGGATCAGTAGCGCCCACCGGCCGACGCAATACAGAGGAGGAGCGGCTGCGGAGGAGGAAGCAGCGACGTGGGACATGTCGCTGCCTCAGGTAAGTTACTGAAGGGGTTTTACTGAAGGGGTTTTACTGAAGGGGTGGGAGGGAGAGGGGACCTGCAGTGCCAGGAAAACAGATTATTTTCCTGGCACTGGAGTTTCCCTTTAAGGTTGTGGAATTATCTGCCTGAAGAGTTGGTTTTATCAGGGTCTGGACAGATGTTTTAACAGCAAATGGATAAACATTTGCAAAAACATAATATACAGGGACATACTTTTTAATACGCAGGGTAATAGCAAGGAGAGATCTGACTGCCATTCTGGGGTCAAGAAGGAATTTATTTTCCTAGTTTGTTGCAAAATTGGAAGCGCTTCAGACTGCCTTATTCTGGATCAACGGCAAAAACATATGTGAGAAAGGCTGAATTTGATAGACAAATGTCTCTTTTCAGCCATGTAACTATGTAACTAAGAGTACAACAAAGGTGTATAATGTATAGTTTGCCACTTAGGTGTTTTTTATATTTGATGAAAAGAGACAGGAATAGTCACACCTTAAAGTATTTTTCATTAGTGACTGTATATATACATTTATTGCCAATTATGTATAAAGATCAACTCTGGGGCAAAATTATAAAAATGGAGCAATCTGCTTGGAGATGTCATTGGTTTCCATAGTGATTGCCCCAATTGTAGAAACTTGCTTGAAAACTGCTCGATATATAAAACGAAAAACCAACAGATAATAAGAATGAACTTAAAAATCTTTTGCATTGAAAACTGAAATGGTTATTCAATAAAGTGTGAGTTGTTAAGAATTGAATTGAATTCAGAGAAAACATTAGGCCAAGTCAGCCATGTTTACTGTTTGCCCGTTTGGTCTGACCTTTGCATTTCCCACGATTTAATTCTTTACCGACTAACCCTGTTTTTGAATATCCTAAAGGGAAATTTTATAGTCTGTGAATTTCTTTAAAAGTAGAACAAACAAAATATTACATTATTTTCAGCTGTTTCTATACAAATTTTTATAAAATATTTTGCACTCACTATAGCAGAGCAATCATTTGCTCTGATTTGTTTGCTGTACAGTATATACAACCTAGGGAGCTGTGCGATACCAGAAATTGAGAGCTCCCTATATTATTCTGAGTACTTCCTGGCTGGAACATTGACATTTTAGAACAGAGTCAACAAACTTGGTGGCGCCGAAATTGTATCCTTGAGCCAGTTTGACAGTTTGTCCTAAATGTAAAAGCTCCACCGCTTTCAGTGGCATGTGAAATATGATTTGTGGTTCATCTTTCGGAATCTGTTGACGCAAAGGGGAACCAGGGTACCACCTCGACATGCCAGCCATGTACCCAAAACAGGTTACCAGATGTGCGTAAAACCCCCACCTCCACCAATATATGACTTATACCCCCAATTGGGAACAATAGTTAAAACAGTCCCTATCTAAATTGTAAATGAATATCAACTTTATTAATAGACACTAATGGCACCTTCAGGGGTCGTCGCCAATGAAGCGACTGGCATCAATGGTGATGCCGATAATGGGCAGGCTCATCTGGAATATGGGCAGGCCAACCCAGTGGTAGTGGTATGTCAGCCTGGTATGAAGGAAGCCATATTGACACACAGGCTCCCGGCAAAACCCCAACTTACAGGATCATGCAGTGAGCATTGTTGGAGCTCCAGATGGTCCTATGAGAAGGACAGGAAGAGGGATAAATACATCTATATGTGCCACGCCTCCTGAAATCGAGTTCTGGATTCACCCCTGGGGTTCTGCAGAACTATCTGTCAGCCATGAATAGGGATTGGACAATGGTATACTGTTAAAAACTAGAGGTTTTTAAGAGAATTGCTCTGTAGATGTAACCAGCCTAAATTTTTATTGAGGATATTCAGTAAAATGTAAATGGTTGAAAATTTAAAGTAAATTTGAAAAAAAAATGTAATCGCCTTCAAATTCCAGACAGTTTACACTTCAGTGAGTAAGCCTTGTCTATGTCACTACATGTACCTGGGTTAAAAATGTCCACAAATTTATTTATTTATGAAAAATGTATTCTCCAGAGCTCCTTTGAAAGCAGAACCACTCAGACGGATGCCTGTTTTAAACATTCTCCTTATATTGTTTTGTAGTGTTTGACCAGGGTAGATCCCCAGATGTTGTAGAACTACATCAACCATGATGCTTTCTCAATCTAACGCATTCTAAAGGCACGCAAAGCATCATGGGAGTTGTAGTTCTACAACATCTGGGGAGCTACCCTTTGGGCACCCTTGCTATAAGTGATCACTTACCTTAAGTAAAAACCTACAGTATCACAGGTGTTTACATGGAAGCCAAAGTGTTGCAGCATAGAGATTCCGGAGAGTCACCAGTGTTCAAGCAGGAATTTGAACTATGGCACATCTGTGGTTAAAGCAATCATGTTCTCTTTGAGTCAATGTAGAACAGTAATGAAGCTCAACACAATGTGACCCTCAACAATGGGTGATGGTTAGAGGAAAAGCCCTACGTGGTCTCAAATTGTATAAAATATATAATTAATATTTAAGATCACAGGGTACATGTATGCTTATCCCAGCTTCACAATGCCTGGTAACCATTTATTTAGTAAATAATCATTTTTAATACATGGATAGCACTGAGCGTGCCTCCACTGACAGCAACATAGTTACATTTTATATATAACGTGGAAGGTTAAAACATAGTGCAATACTGTCTGTAAATAACCAACAATCAGGGGGGTTAAAAAAAAATTGCAGCATATCGTATAAAAAGGCCCACAGGTCCTATGTGAATAAATTATTTTTTGGCTGGGGATTTTTACATCAATATACCGGCCAAGGTTTCCATCGGGTACTACTGAAGGAGGAGTTCCAGCCCCCTAACAATATCGGGGGAGATACCCATAAAGCACTTTGACCTGCTGGAATCTGTGAGTGCAACATTAAATCTGACTGCTGGATATTTACAGACAGTACTGCACTATGTTTTATCCTTGGTTTTAGGTGGACGAGTTGAATGCCTTAACCTTCCACGTTATATCTATCTATGTTGACTGGTTATCATCCGGTAAGATAACCTTGTAAAGCTGTGTACCTAGAAGTTAAGTTATTTTTTATTATTATTTTTTATATATTTGCAGGAATTCACTAATAAGTCACACGTGGATTTGTTTTTTGAGAATAGTTAAATTTTAGTCTTGTTAAAGAAACATTAAAGTCCATCAAGTTGAATCTTGAACTACGCGGAGGCTGATACAATACCAGCAGTGCCCATCTTCCCTGTGTATTCTGAATATCCCACCATCAGTGTATACACAGGAGTCAACCCATGCTACAAGTGTACTCACTGTCTTCCATTAAATACAGAGGATTAGTTATGATAAGAGCAATGCTGGGCTATATTATAGGCCGCATGTCCTCTGGTGTGAACTAACTATAGTTAAGACAAAATAATGGCAACATTCATATAAGAACAGATTCCCTTGGATTTCCCAGGAAGGGCCTACACTAAGTGTCAGCTCTGTGGTACAGGATGTGCACAGTCAGGGTTCGGGGCACACATTGCCCAATTTTCTAATGTATTGTTGACCCATGTACATAACGTTTCACTCTCCCTCGTCTCTTTGTATGTCCGTGCTTGCTTGTGTTTACGAGGACCTAGGAACCCCTGGTGATAGCTTTATATGGAAAATGTATTCATAAGTAACAAAATTGGAAACAATTCTCCAATACTTTTATTTTCACACTCAGCTTCAAATGAAGAAAATGTTCAAACAAGTTCCTCTTTATTAATGTTCCCATTTTATCTAGTGTTAATTTAAATAATGTTACCTTTTTAAAAATATCCTTGTGTCCTTTTTTTTTTTGGTACCATAAAATTACTGTAAAGTTAATTCAGTAATCTCTCAATTGTAGCGATTGAAAATCCAAACATCCACCTAGTTTATCTATGTCTGTCTGTCTTTTTATTTCTCAATCCCCCCTTCTCTTCCCATCCCTTTCTCTCTGATAACAATATATTATCATTTAACAAGGCAGAATACATTTAGATTTCTCTAATTTTCATCCCTCTCTCTCTGTCCCGCACTCTCTCTACGTCTCTTTCTTGCCTTGTCTTTCTCTCATACAATAATTACACTTCTGAGAAGATTTGCGGCTACTGCTGTTGTCTCACTGATGGATTTGTGTGGTTAGAAAGAGAGCCAGGCAGGGCAGGATAAGAGGCGATTTAAGAGGCCAACCCAAAAATGGATGAATAAAATCAACATAAAAACACAAACAGTGAATAACGCCACAACACTCTCACTTCATCAATCCAGGCAGCATCTGCACCGTATTCCCTGTTTTTCCTGCTTTATATTCGAAGCATTTATTAATAAGAAAAATGAGGCTTGACATTTTTTTTTTCTTTAGCTTGTAGTGTCAGCCCCCTATTCCTTTATCTACACTCCAGCAAACCACTAAACAACCTTCCAAACCTATTTAGCATCCTTCCCAACCCCATTAATAGCAGCTTATGGTAGGTATGTTTGGGGGTAACAAAACAAACATATACACAAAGTAATGCTGGGGAGTCAAACTACGATCAGCCATGAGCAGCCTGTAACTCCCATCACACCTTACTTGTCACTCGTGTCTTGGTCTGGAAAAGGTTTAATTCTCATTATTTAAATTAGTCCGTTCAGGGTTATTAACTAAAGTAGCAATTGCCGTGAATTCAAAGTGAATTTCAAATTTAAGGCCAAATTATCTGATCTGGAAGCCTAACTGATTTGGAGAGTTGTGTTCCATTTTCGATAATTTGACGTTAAATTTTAAATTCCCTTTGAATTCCTGACAATCCTCCCTGTGTGCAACTCCCTCAAATATTCAAATGGGAATATTAACACCCTAACACTTTTGTTAGATTTCACTGGACAAAATAAAATGATGGGAGTTGGTGTCCAACAGAAGCCGGGCAAATGCTTGTCAGTGGAATGAATATAAATTAACAGTTTAACAATCTCTTAACTGTTTAAAGGGTTACGTCAAGCACCATGACCACTTCAGTGTTTTAAAGTGATGATGGTACCTGCAGTCTATATGCGCAGAATTTCGCTTTGAAACGCTACACACAGGGAGTTTAACCCCGTAGCTGCTGGAGGTGTAACTCCAAGTCCGACAGCTGGATGGGGGAGACTTTTGCCAGCCCAGAACAAGATTTCCAGCTAGCTAATGTCAATTCTGTGCAAACGTTTCTGCACGGTGTGTGATTCATTGGCTGAGAGTGGCCAGCTGAAACTCTCAGCCGATGAATGGCAACTCTGCAGAAGCTGGAAGTGTGTCACAGAGGAGTCTGGGAACTAGGTTAGGGGGCAAACCATTACTAAACAGTTTACCCATGTACGGGGCACAGGCCCAAGGTACTCATGGCACCATAATCACTACGTTTGATTGGAATAACCCTTAACTGTCAGGGAACTGTGGGTAGCACATAAAGCTTTGAATAGAAACGTTTGCAGAACAATGTTGTATATTATTAGTAAGTTGAAAAATATCTTCTTCTTGGACATTTGTCCATCTTGGCTATTTTTGATGAAGTTTAGTAGATAAAGCCATTTAATTCCTTGGTAAGACTGCGGCTAGCGACGCCGTGCACTGCACCTGTATTGTCATGAAGACTCTGCATGTGAGCAGCAGAGGGCGCTGTTCCATCGCAGGATGCTTATGACAGGTGACCTTGCTTCAGTCCAAGGTGAGGTATTTTCAACATTGGCCAGGAGATCCTGCTATCAAGAGACAAGAATGACCACTGTGGTGAATGGATGAGAGAAGACGGTATTTTGGGAGTTGGCTGAAACAACAGTCTTTAAAAACCTGCACAATATGCAGCTAGGAGATTTGCTCTTAAAGTGTATATTGCAGTCGAACAATCCCAAGCCATTACTGACATTCATAGGTTTTTAAAGCACAAACATATACCGCAGCGCTGTAATTTTATATTTAACCCCTTAAGGACAGTGCTGACATTCTCGCCCATGCAGACCCTATACTAATGTGCAATGCTCTGCAAGCTACCTGGACATTAAGAAGTTAAAGGGACAGTGAAGAACAAATCTTCATCTGCAGACTTTTGAACTGGTTTTACCCCTGGCACAATTCTGGTCCTCCCATTCTATTTTCAGTTGGACGACATTGATTGGAATATGCTCAGATATAAACCCAGCACTGTCTGAGCCTGTCCTGATAATGTGCAGTCAAATCCTCTACGTTAGAAATAAATTTAGCATTGTCTGAGATAACATCTAGTCAGATTCCCTACATTAGATATAAACCCAGTGCAGTTTGAGCCTGTCCTGATAATGTGCAGTCAGATCTGTTATATTATATAAACCCAGCGCTGACTGAGCCTGTCCTGATAATGTGCAGTCAGATCCCCTACATTGGATATAAACCCAGCGCTGTCTGAGCCTGTCCTGATAATGTGCAGTCAGATCCCCTGCATTACATGAAAAGTTAGTAATATATATAATATATTATAATATATAAAGTATCTGTAATTTAACGTCAGGACAGTCTCCTCTCGGCAACCGCCCCACTGTTGATGAAATCATCAATTGCCAGGATATAGCAGTTGGATACTTGTCATAGAGGAGCCTTGAATCCAATCCTAGTCTGTGAGAAGCATTAACAGTATGTGGCGTTATGATGCCGAAAGTGAAGAACTTCAATTTTCGATGGTCTCCTTTAAGAAGTGCCTCTTTGGCTGTTAGTCTGACAGTCTGACAGTCGCTACATACATGTTCTCAGATAAGGAAACACTGCTCAGAAATGGCGATGTTTTGTATTGCCATAGGAAAGGTACAGCATCTGTGTACCAACATCACTACATTAAGGTTTTGATGGTTAGTGTGTGTCTTTAAAATGCTTGTATGAGTTGCTAATTTAAAATTGCATAGAGTAGAAATTCTAGTTTTCTGCCCCCTTCCCCCTCCAGAATATTATGTTCCGGAAGAAGAGTCATCCTGTTATTGGGAGAAATCAATTAATTCCATTTCAAACCTTTTAGCACTTCCCATAATGTCTGACCCTTTTCTGCCTCAGCATGGAAACAGCAGGGTTAATGACTCCTTAGGGGGATACGAGACCCCCCTCCTAGTTCCAGACAGTACTCACCCTCAATTCCTTAACCCATTAATGGCACTCAATAATGAGACTCTGCTTCACAGATTTTACTTCAAGGTATATACAGAGAACAGGGCTAGTTTTTCCAAATCTGAACTAAAAATATTTACATACACTGATATTTTAAAAATACACGGATGATTTGGGGTATACTTTAGGATGTACTTATGGTTTGAATTTAACAAACACACACTCACTGTATATGTCAATGTTTTTTTTTATAGATTGTGTCTGTTACTTACAATACCTATTACACATACCCTCAGGGCTGTATTTACCACAAGGCAAACAAGGCATTTGCCTAGGGTGGCACTTTCAGGGGGGCAGCAAAAATGACTTGTTTGCCTTGTGTCCTGAGGGGCCCAAGAGCTTGCGACCACGTTAGGTCCTCCCTCTAGGTGTAAAACTACTAATATTCTAGCTAGGCGGCGAGGGAGCTATGTCCTTTTAAATTAAAAAATATATATTAATAATTGGTGAGTGTATGAGTGTCTGTCAGTGAGTGTTTTGTGTCTGTCAGAGAGTGTGTGTCTGTCATTGTGAGTGTGTTTGTGTGTCTGTCAGTCAAAAAAGTGGCCTTGACACGAATTGGTGGGGCAAGTTTAGATAAGGGAGGTGCCAAATTTAGTCGTGCCTAGGGCAGCACAAATCCAAAATACACCACTGCATACGCTACACATCTCTAGGGATACATTTTACGTAAACAATATTTGCACTACACACACATTTCTTTTAATGCATAGCCTCGCATTAAAAGAAATGTTGCTGTTTCCGTGTGTGACCCTTTGTGTACTGGGGAAATTAATAATGGCAAGTATTCATATGTTGAGTTCTTCCTTACGGCATGATGGGAATTGTAGTTTACAACTGAGGCCCACCTTTTGGTCCCCCATGGTATAAGCAGAAGATGAGACTGAAGAGATAAGACTTGCAATGATTATGTCATCGATACCCCTTGCCAGTAAATAGTTTATCAGACATTTTCACCTGACGCAGTGAACAAAATAGGATTAATAGGGAAGTATCAATTCCTAGAATTTAAACATTATCTTCACTTATATATTTACTCGCTATAGAAACATAGAAACATAGAATGTGACGGCAGATAAGAACCATTCGGCCCATCTAGTCTGCCCAATTTTCTAAATACTTTCATTAGTCCCTGGCCTTATCTTATAGTTAGGATAGCCTTATGCCTATCCCACGCATGCTTAAACTCCTTTACTGTGTTAACCTCTACGACTTCAGCTGGAAGGCTATTCCATGCATCCACTACCCTCTCAGTAAAGTAATACTTCCTGATATTATTTTTAAACCTTTGTCCCTCTAATTTAAGACTATGTCCTCTTGTTGTGGTAGTTTTTCTTCTTTTAAATATAGTCTCCTCCTTTACTGTGTTTGTGATATTCAAGAAATAAAATGAAATGTAGAAATCTGCACGGTTGTATTTAGCTCGATCCTGGGCAGCTCCATTTTGACTCCCTGTCAATCACTGTTATAAGCGCTGACCTTTTCTGTCATTGAACATGGTAAGCCCGGGTAACTCCATGGTAACTCCTCCTCCAGTGCATTCTATGCCTTGTTGTGCCAGGACTGAACTGGATTGTGATGTCAATTGATAAATATTAAATATAGAGCTTAAAGATCACGCAGCACCACATAAAAAGGGTGATATGAGTTGTAGATCATTTCCAATGTTTTATTCAGTGGTTTAATTTCCTTTTTTTTAAATGCATGTATCAAGGAGTATATTCAGTTTGCTAATATGCTAAACAAGGGTATGTTGCCGCTTATACTGAGGCCATTGTAAGGAAATTACAAGAGAATCTAAGAAATGCTGCAAGATTAAAGGAACATTATAGTCACCTAAATTACTTTAGCTAAATAAAGCAGTTTTAGTGTATAGCTCATTCCCCTGCAATTTCACTGCTCAATTCACTGTCATTTAGGAGTTAAATCGCTTTGTTTCTGTTTATGCAGCCCTAGCCACACCTCCCCTGGCTATGATTGACAGAGCCTGCATGAAAAAAAAAAACTGATTTTATTTTCAAACAGATGTAATTTACCTTAAATAATTGTATCTCAATCTCTAAATTGAACTTTAATCACATACAGGAGGCTCTTGCAGGGTCTAGCAAGCTATAAACATAGCATGGGATAAGAAAATCTTAATTAAACAGAACTTGCAATAAAGAAAGCCTAAATAGGGCTCTCTTTACAGGAAGTGTTTATGGAAGGCTGTGCAAGTCACATGCAGGGAGGTGTGACTAGGGTTCATAAACAAAGGGATTTAACTCCTAAATGGCAGAGAATTGAGCAGTGAGACTGGAGGGACATGATCTATACACCAACACTGCTTCATTAAGCTAAAGTTGTTTTGGTGACTATAGTGTCCCTTTAACAATGACCATCGCTAGAGATACCACCAGTATGTCTGTATAGTGACACATGCTTATACTTATGCTAGGCCTGCATGTCAGACTAATATTAACAGATGTAAACTTAGGCAATCAAATCATAAATAAAAACGAGTGAGAAATAAGCAAACCTACAGCAAACAGTATGGGAGCTGCTAGGAGCCAAGTAGCTTAGAGTAGGCTTAGATTCATGAATTCATGAATTAATAAAATGTCAGCCTATGCCTAGACAGGATATGATTATTTTGATTTTAGGGATAGTGTAGGATCAAGTTTAGGGGTAAGGTATGGGTAGGTACACAGTTGGTGTAACCATACAGTTAGACGTGTGGGGGGGAGTGGTGGTATTACATAGAAACATAGAATGTGACGGCAGATAAGAACCATTCGGCCCATCTAGTCTGCCCAATTTTCTAAATACTTTCATTAGTCCCTGGCCTTATCTTACAGCTAGGATAGCCTTATGCCTATCCCACGCATGCTTAAACTCCTTCACTGTGTTAACCTCTACCACTTCAGCTGGAAGGCTATTCCATGTATCCACTACCCTCTCAGTAAAGTAATACTTCCTGATATTATTTTTAAACTGTTGCCCCTCTAATGTCCTCTTGTTGAGGTAGTTTTTCTTCTTTTAAATATAGTCTCCTCCTTTACTGTGTTGATTCCCTTGATATATTTAAATGTTTCTATCATATCCCCCCTGTCTCGTCTTTCCTCCAAACTATACATGTTAAGTTCCTTTAACCTTTCCTGGTAAGTTTTTTATCCCGCAATCCATGAACCAGTTTAGTAGCCCTTCTCTGAACTCTCTCTAAAGTATCAATATCCTTCTGGAGATACAGTCTCCAGTACTGCGTACAATACTCCAACTGAGGTCTCACCAGTGTTCTGTACAATGGCACGAGCACTTCCCTCTTTCTACTGCTAATACCTCTCCCTATTAACTGCCAAAAGTTTATTTAGATCTTAGATATAAGCAAAAGTGTGATAAAATGCATTTTATTTCCATTTCCACCCTCCCCCCATCCTCTTTTTATTGAGGTTGCAAAGGTAGAGCGTATATGACACAAGTAGAGCGATAAGATAATGTGGAAGACTGGGGGTTGTGGGTTGAGGTGCCGGTTATAGAGTAGGAATATTGTAAGTTTGTATGGCGCAATACATGCACGGTAAATGCTTCACTCTATGTGTCTATAATTCAACCTGGATTTTTCATGAATACATGGGTGTTCAAACTTGGGCTGTGCACACTAGTGCAGAATTTAACTCAAACAAGTAACAGGCTAAGAAAAAAAACCAGAGAGGAATAATTGGGCCCCCCCGTTAGTATATCATTTGGGGTTGGTTAGATAGCTGATGGAGTTTGGTGTGCCATAGTGCATATGTATTGAAGCTTGTTACTTTATATACAGTGGGTCATTTAGCCACGGGTCCCATATTTTATGATGTGGTTTGGAGGTTTTGTGGAGTTTTGCTGACAACCTGCCCGTCTCTACGGCCTCAGTGGTTTTACGGATAAATGTACCGAGTCTTGAGACGTTGGGAGAGCCCCGGAGTTTAGCTATGGCTCATCTTGTTGCTAGCACTATTCTATTTATCATTTTGCTTTGGGTTCGCGTAATCAAGTCCCAGGGTTTAGAGAGTAGCCTGATCCAGTGATCTAAGGGAACATCTAACTGATGGAGCTTGGATGTTAGTTTTGCGACCTTCGTCCACTTCCCCCCATTTTTAACATTGTATTCACACTGAATGTTGTGTTAGGTATGCTGCATATATGATATTAAAAAATATTAAAAGAAATCCCTTTAAAAAATCTATAGTATGTATAGGGGCACTTAAAGAGAAACCCTTAAATTATGGTGGAATACCCACATAGCACAAATTCTAGGTTTTGTCTTGGTTCAAAAGTTGCCAATTGCCTCCATCCTTAAGGGGTTAAATGACCATTTAAACGCACACTCGACACAAACATTCCGTGACCCCTGAACACACTCAGAGGCTTCTATCATACTTTGCCTCTGTATTCATATTCAGAGTGCTGTTATCCAGAGCCCAACACAGATCACCTGGTGGGTTCAATTCACAGAGTCTTACCATTCATTAACAGACATTAAAATAGCAGCCAAAATAATATGCCATCAATTTAAACAATAAAATACTCCAGCTAACATATAAAAACCATTTACAAGCTTCCTTGCGATTGTTTGGTTTTCAAGTGCTATTCACAGTCATTATTAAATCTATTTAAACACATCTCACATGGTCTATTAGAACACAGGTATGTTATTAAAAATGATGAATGCGCCCTCTATTCTACCTTATCAACAGAACTCCTGGTATTTAAATTTAGAATGACTCCCAGCATGCATTCCGCTGATTAAAAATCTAGTTTGCAGAAGATAACAAATTAGGGGTGCTCTTCGTATAAGACAGAACATTAACCTAGCGCTCTCGTAAGTTCAGCAAAGAAGATTAAATGCACCTGTCATTTTATTCCCTCTTTAACGGTTTTAAAAATGCAAAAATTACAAGAAAAAAAATCCCACTTAGCTTTAATAAAGATTTTTTTTTCTGCTGCTTTAGCTACGAACCATTGAATATGTCACATGACATTTTTGTGTCACATGCCTACAAAGCAGAATTAATATGTCCGGAAAAAAAATCAACAAATGAGCCAAATTTCTTTAGCTGAAAATGTTTTTCTGAGAAGAGTTTAGATATTCAAAAATTGTTAATGTACCCCTCTCTAGCAGCAATCCTGATGGCACATTTGCAATATTAAAGGGACTCTATAGTCACCAGGATAACTACAGCTTAATGTAGTTGTTCTGGTGAGTATAATAGCTCCCTTCAGGCATTTTCATGTAAACACTGCCTTTTCAGACTAGGGACACCTTGCAGTAGTCACTCCTCAGATGGCCACTGGAGGAGCTTCCTGGGTCAGTGCTGCACAGTAAGCAGACTTGCCGTTCAGCGTCCGCATGCTCTGCATGGAGATGCTGAATTTTCCTCATAGAGATGCATTCCTAATTGGCCAAAACGGCATTTGGCCCGCCCCGTGCCGATTTTAGCCAATCCAATGCTTTCCCTATGGGAAAGCATTGGATTTGTTAAAAATAGGCCATTTTGATTATGTCACAAAGGGGGCGGAGCCAGCGCCGAGGGACCTGCGTGGCGCTGGAGATAAGGTGAATTTTATACTTTTATAGGGGAGCTAAGGGGGGCAAGCCACCTAAATGGTGGGTTTAGCACTATAGGGTAAAGAATAAATGTTTGTGTTCCTGACCCTATAGTGATCCTTTAATAATTTTTCTCTTCGTTCAGTCCAGCAGCATTTATTCTTCATCATATATTTGTATTTGCACTCAATATTTGCGTTTATTAGCAGTTTATTGAAAAGTGACAGAATAGAAAAATAACAGTACCATGTGCAGTAGAACAAAAAAAGCCCAGTGCTGCTTCTAAGTGTGTGCTTGGAGATATCCTGGATATAAACTGGAGGTAATCTGAGGTATATAAATCACTGGTAAGACCCCATATTGAATATGCTGTGCAATTTTGGGCACCTGTTCTAAAGAAGGATATTATGGCACTAGAAAAAGTGCAGAGGCGGGCTACAAAATTAATAAAAGGAATGGAACATATCGGCTATGAAGAAAGGTTAACAAATTTAAACCTATTTAGTTTAGAAAAACGTCGCCTGAGAGGGGATATGATAACATTATACAAATATATTCGGGGCCAATACAAACCATTGTGTGGAAATCTATTCACAAACCGGACTTTACATAGGACACGAGGCCATGCGTTTAGACTGGAAGAAAGAAGATTTCGCCTAAGGCAAAGGAAAGGTTTTTTTACTGTAAGAACAATCAGGATGTGGAATTCTCTGCCTGAAGAAGTTGTTTTATCAGAGTCCATACAGGTGTTCAAACGGCTACTAGATGCATACTTGCAAAAACAGAATATTCAAGGATATAATCTTTCAATGTAGGGTAATAACTGCTTGATCCAAGGATAAATCTGACTGCCATTCTGGGGTCAAGAAGGAATTTTTTTCCTAGCTTGTTTCAAAATTGTGCTTCAAACTGGGTTTTTTTGCCTTCTTTTGGATCAACAGCAAAAAACAAATGTGAGGAAGGCTGAACTTGATGGACGCAAGTCTCTTTTCAGCTATGTAACTATGTAACTATATAGAAGGAACAAAATTAAGATTTGTTTGATTTAAATTACTCACCTCATTAAAATGGCAGACTTAGTTCAGTGTAATAGTTGTTATGCATTTGTTTCACATTCCACTTTTTGGAAATGTGGATGCTGTCATGTCAGTTATGTGTCTGTTAGTCCACCCATTGTACAGCGCTACGGAATTTGTTGGCGCTATATAAATAATAAAATAATAATAAATAATAGAGAGCTCTCTATATTGCGGCAGGAGATTGTATTTTTGAAGTCTGAGATTTGTACATTATTCGGTAAACAAACTCAGGCTGGAACTGCTGCAAAGCCACTGCCGCAGAGATGTACTAGGAATGGCAGATGGATTACTGTAAGATATGGTAGACTTGGGGTTGTAGATAAAAGGCATATTGCACAGTCTGTTGCTCTAGATAATTCATTTTCAGCACTTTTGGGGTGTAATGGTGTTATGGAGACAGGCTCAGGCACCAAGTGTAGTGGTGTTGTGGAGACTCTCTGGTACCGAGGTGTAGTGCTATTATGGAGACAGGCACTGAGTGTAGTGGTGTTGTTGAGACAGGCTCAGGCACAGAGTGTAGTGGTATTCTAGAGACAGGCTTGGAGACTATGGTGAGGCCTAATAGAAAGCAGTTGTTGTTGGGGGATTTCATTATAAGAGGTGTGGAGATGGACAATAGTGGTCTTGTGAGATGTCTTCCTGGAGCTACTGCTTTTTTAAACTACTATTTGTAATATTGTTAAGCGAGCAAAGCAGGAAGGGGAATTGGATGTACTTGTCCATCTAGGGACAAATGACTTGGCTTGCAATGAGGTTTCAGAGGTTAAGGAAGTTTTTAGTGTTTTTGCCAATGATATACGGCAGGTTGCTTCCACACTGTCATTCTCTGAAGTTCTGCCTGTGCATTACACTCAGAACGACAGGTGGGTGCATATTAGGGACTTTAACGTGTGGCTTGGTGAATGGTGTCGGGAGCAAGGATTTGGCTTCATTTCTCATTGTAGCTCTGTTTGGAATGGAAATAAATTGTACAAAAAAGATGGTTTGTGGGGCGGAGCCTGACCAGCAAGCAAGCAAGACGTGCTTTGCCTGAGCTCCTGCTGCACGGAACTTAAACACATGAAATCTCGGGCTAAGGTGCTAGAGAACCATCCTAAAAGAAGCTTTACAGTTTGGGGAAACCGGCCCACACCTGCAGATACCAAACTTGACACCTGGAACACCCGTCACAGCAGGTTGAGGTCTACAGGAGAAGATGGAGTGGGAAGGGGTCGGCTGACCCAAGCACCAGGACCAGCTGAGATATGCGGCTGCCTGCTATTGTTTAAACAATACACAGTGGGACTGGATAGTCTATATTTTATCTAATATTTCCTAGCTAGCTTAAAATCATCATAACCTACCTGTGTACCACACACTATCCACCTGCTATTATACTTCATAGCATGCTATCATACTACAGTTAAACTAGTATAGTCAATCTAGTATTGTTAAACGTCGACTAACTAAAATTTACTCTGACAATGTAGCTGTTTAGTTAAGCTAGATATATATACAGAAAATTGTGCGAATACACTGTTGTGGCGTTTGCTGATATCCTGTAACCAGAGAAGCACGGAGACAGCCACTAGAGGCTGGATTAACCCATTTATAAACATAGCAGTTTCTCTGAAACCGCTATGTTTATTAAAAAAAAGGGTTAACCCTAGCTGGGCCAGGCACCCAGACCACTTCATTAAGCTGAAGTGGCCTGGATGCCTAGAGTGGTCCTTTAATGTGCTAGGAAGATCCATTTTTCTTTGGATTATTTTAAATGTTCTGTGGGATTTTAGTCTTTCGACCTAGTCGCCTGACATTGGTTTGTAGTTTCACCCAAGGGAATATTATGTATTTAAGGAAATACGTTGATTACCATATACTGTTATCATCCCCAGGGATTTGGCAAATATGTACTTTCCTGCTCAGTTTTTACGTATAAATATGCGTGTTTTGTTTTAATATTACCAAATGTATATATTCTAGGAATATATACAGACTGTAGACTGTCGCCGAGTTAAGTCTGTGACATTTTAAAAGGTCAAAATTAACAAGTATCTGTCATGGAAAAATGAAAAGTCCAATTTCTGATGGTGACATAGTTTGTAGAGGCCCTGTAATATCATGCCTGTAAGGGTGGCAGAAGTGGGATAGTTTATCTTCTGCTATAATTGCATTTCTAAATATAATTTTATCAGATCGAGTTCTGTCCTCGATCAGCTGATCTTCCATTGCTAACTGTGGATCTGCTTAGATTACGTATTAAGCATCATAAAAGGAATTTATTCTAATTTGAGTCACACTTGTCCCTGTGATTTGTCACTCTTTCAGTAGAATGTATTTATATTAAATGTACTGAAACTGTGTTGGAATTATCCATAAACTTAATTCTGCTGTGCAATTTGGTACCATTAAAAGCACTGTGAAAAAGAGAGAATGACACAAATCTATTTATTTTCTTGAAGACTTATTTTGAAAGCTAAACAATGCAAAACTATTTAAGCTAAAAAAGTAAATTATGTCAAATAGACAATTGGCAGGAAAGTGAGTAAAGTTCTAAAACTGGAGCAATCGCCATAGTAACCAACAAAATGCTCTTGCTGATTCCGTTGTTTCTATGGTGATTGCATCCTTTTTACCAACTTTGCCCTACTTTTCTATTTGGAGTGCAAGCCAAAATCATTAAATCAGAATGCTACTTCTCTGAAAGTGGCCGTTCCTCATTCCTCAGCCCAGGAAATATTATTGGAGTGTTTATTGGGGTGAGTGGTGCAGGAGAGGTAAGTGGGGAAAATAAATACTAGCCTCTGTAGCAATTCTGTATTCATTGATCTGTTATGCTTCGGGCATGATCACAAATGCTTCCGAATATGTAAACTTCCATTGTGCTGTACGAATGCATGTAGCTGTGCTTATGGTACTGGGATGGGGAAGTTAATTTGCATGATATGGTCTCATGGTCCAGGACAACCAGAAGTACAATATATATTATAATATAAAAATGGTTGTAAGTTTTAAAAAAAATAGTACAACGCATAGTTGTATTCAGTTAGCTGCTGCGTTGTTTAAAGGGAACTTGTAGCCACTTACCGTGGTCTCCACTCCCCGCCATGATCTCATTAGAGAGGTCAACCCATGCTCCTCCTCTGCTCTCCACTGATTTGCCCTCTTTGAGGGGACTTCCCTTTAAGCAGGGCAAACTTCCTCAGTGACGCTGACATGTTGGCTTCATAGCCAGCTTGCCAATGCCTGGAAGGAGCGACACGTTCCTGTACTCTCTATCCAGTGCTAGAACCGCCGGTTAGGGAGTTTTCATAGCAACCACAGCACATGCACTCTGGTTGCTATAGGTCATGGGTCCTCAAACTCCGGCCCCCCAGTTGTTGCTGAACTACAACTCCCATGATTCTCTGGCTATCTATGTAATTTAAAGAATCATGAAAGTTGTAGTTCAGCAACATCTGGGGGGCCGGAGTTTGAGGATCCATGCTATAGGTGGAGAGTAGAAAGCCCTTCTATTCAGCTCTCCTTCATTGATCAATTCTTGCAGAATTTATTGACAGCTTGGAAAAAAAGCTTTTTTTACATGAGTTTTTCTCCCAATCTATACATTTATTAGTAAAACTGCTGGCGTAAAGTATAGATGGGATTTAATGTTCTCATTAAAGAGCTAAAGTTGTTTTGGGCTCTAAAGGTGTCCTTTAAAAAGATTCACGTGTAACAGTGTAGCTCGAAGACATCGAGGATTATATCCAAAGAGAAAATGAGACAGAAAGTTCCATAGATCAGCAGGAACATTCTATTGGTTTCTATGGTGACTGCTTTACTTTTGTAACAAATTGTTCTATATACATGACCCCAATATGATCAAATGTGATTTTAGGTTAAAAAACAGTTTGAAAGGAAATAAAATTATGGAATCATTTTTTTGTCAGTCTTTATTTTTTTGCAGTGCTCGGTTTAAAAAAACAGGCTTGTGATGCCACAACAGCAGGTAGAAGCGAAGGAAAATGTACAGACTAAACAATATCATGGCATTCAATATTGGCACATTTTTTGTCAAACCATTTTCCAGGCACTGCAGGTCCCCTCTCCCTCCCACCCCCCATCCCAAGTTGCTGAAGGGGTTAAAACCCGTTCAGTGACTTACCTGTACCCAGCGCCGATGTCCCTCGGTTCTGATTCGGGGTCCGCACATGCTCCTCCCCCGCCGACATCATCCGGAGGGGGAGACCGATTGCGCATGCGCGGCCGCCGGCAGGGAGAGACCTAATGGACAAGCGCAGCAATGCTGTGCACACGCATTAGACCTCCCCATAGGAAAGCATTGAAAAATGCTTTCAATGCTTTCCTATGGGGATTTCAGAAAATGTGTGCTATAAACCCGGAATTGCCCTCTAGTGGCTGTCTAGTAGACAGCCACTAGAGGAGGAGTTAACCCTGCAAGGTAAATATTGCAGGTTATGAAAACTGCAATAATTTCACCTGCAGGGTTAAAGGTAGTGGGAGTTGGCACACAGACCACTTCAATGGGCAGAAGTGGTCTGGGTGCCTGGAGTGTCCCTTTAATTTGATGGCCTAGGGCGACATGCTTAACTGCACATTATTGAACTATAGGATGTCAGGTTAGATACGCGTGTCTACGGAGTTGGACGGTGCTGGGGATTACCTGATGAGTGTATGTCAGAAACGCTAATTGGTCAGTTAGGATGAACTAGACACATAACTTTGTATAGATGCAATGGAACATTCTTATATAGTATAAGAACAAAACTGACCACTGGTGAGGATCCCATGCAGAGTGACAGTGCTAACCATTAGGTTGTAACATATTGCCAGGACTCTCTGTCATATAATGAGACATCGTCACAGTAATTAAGGTTTAAGCTATAATCCTACAAAAACAGGACTAGGTGACATAGAATGCAAACGTTATAGCAGTTAAGGCCATGGAGACATCGAGCATGTCATGTTTTATAACAGACAATCTTTCTAGGTTAACCACCAACCCCCCAGAGCCAGTCAAAATAAAACTATGCAAAAAGACAACAAAATGAGCGTGTCTGCTAGGTGAGAGCCTAATAGAGACTATCAGCTTGGACAGTACAAGTTGGGTCCCAGAAGGCTCTCGGCTAGGAGCGTTGTCTAGCGGGACTGCGGGCTAAAGAATAAACAGTCAGCCGATACCCCTGCTGTGTAGGATGGCACCTTGAGCCGGGAGAGTCCACAGGAGGACGGTGAGTTGTGGGTATTTGGAGGCCGCCATCCAGCCCCAGGCCGTTACGAAGGCCAGCACCTGCGGTCCACAAACTCGGGATCTCGTTGAGGCCGGGTCTTCCCTCTGTCGGGTGCCATGGAGAGCATGGATGTTCTGCTGCTGCCAGTGACGGCCGGGCTTCTGGTGGTGTGGTCGGTGCAGTGGAGGCTTTCTCAGAGTGGCCTTTAGCCTAGGAAGGCATTTAGGATGGACAGTGTTAGCTGCTATGTGGGGTTTGCCTGATAGAGGCCTCCTCCAACTCAATTCCTCTACCCCCTTCACCACTCTCTCAGGAGTAGGCTGCTCCTGTCTGCTGCGGTGCTCCAAACGCTCTTAAAACCTCTGGAAACCAGTTGCTCGATGTAGTGATCCACCGGGTTATTGCCCTGGCCGCCATGGTGTGTTAGCACAGGCTTCTGTCACTGGGACGCAGACACCATCTTGTGTGGCCTGCTAGTCATGTCGCTCAGGCTGTAGGGTGTAGCCAGGGCTTGATTTGCAGTTTGCCATGGGTTGGTGGGGACCGGGATAACCTCCATCGATCCAAAGTGGATGGGACGGGACCCAAGCTGAAGTTTGTGGCGTGGTGTTGCCGTGAAAGAGCGGCCGTTGCTCCTGCGGCTTCCCTGCTTGTCAGGCTGCGGACTAGGCCGCACTGCTGCGCTCTGGTTTCTGCTGACGGAACTTCAAGATTCGGGTACCGTTTTGTGCCGATTCAATATCAGATCAGCCCCCCCTGATCAGATAAGTTGTACTTGGCGTGATAAGTCACTGTTAGGGCTTAGATTGTGCCCGTTGCTGCCAGCGCTGTTAGCAAGTGCGTCCGGCCATCTTGGCTGTCAGGCCCTGCCCCAAATTATGGATTAATTTATGCCTGTGACAAAACTACATACTTTGGTTCCCAAAATGTATTTTTCTGCGTTCAGAAGATAAATCTGCTAAACACAGACTATCCCCTGGCTCATTACGTTCAAAGAAAACCACAGGAGTTAGTGCTCTCCCTTTGTGGCCGCCATTTATATAACAGAACAACACGTACTGGAGGAAACGGTGGCCGTCTTGTTGCACAAAAAGAGGCAGCAAGACTTGGTCGTTGAGTGTCCTGAACTCCAAGTCGGACACTCGACCCTGCGAACACTGGTTAACTTTGCAGAGCGCTGTTCGGTAGGTTTGTTCCCACGAACAAGGCGAACAAACCCTACCTATAAGCCAGGGGTACTGTTCCTTGTTTTGTTCGGTTTGGAACTCCCGAAATTGACTGACAGCTACCACAGAAACTATGGAACTGTTTTGGGCAGGCGCCTCATGAGCGGTCGGTTCGGCTGTGTTCGTGGGATCTGAGCGCTATTTAGAGAACTTGGGCGCTCAGATCCAGGCTATCCGGGGATATGACATTTATGGGGGTTCCTATAAGTTTTGTGTGTATTATTATGTATTTTTAATATTTAGTATTTTATGCAGAGTCGTGGGCTTGTTGTGGGAGTTTTTGTGTGCGTGTATACTGTACTCCTGAATTGCATAAAAGCCGGCCATCTGACCTGAATAAAATTATTCCTGTTATACCCTTCATCTAGTCTAGGCTGATGTTTGGTTATGTGACTGATGAACCGCTGGATTTACTTTCATGCTGCACTTTGATTCTTGGGAACCTACGAATCAGCACTCCGGACTGCGGGCTATAATCACGAAGTCCCTAGGAGTTCCAGAGCATACGAACGAATGGGTATATGAAATACCAGCGTTCGTTACAATGCCATATGGGGCATTCTAACGAAGGTCTTGAAAGGACAGTAATATGATCATCCCATGTTATAAGGAGTAAGGAGAGAATACAGGTGCATTTAATATAATTATACCTCAGATGAATGATAGAGGTGCTGAGAGAGGATTGCTGTCCTCCCCCTTCTTTGTTTGCATTTTTTTTGTATTTTACATGAGGACTAATAGAATTTGTTGAAAAGGTGTTGAAGGTCTGACAATGGGCACATTTAAATAGTTTTCATCAGAGCAAAGCTCCCTTGGGAGTATTTGTGTTTATTAAAAGAGTCTTTCTGCACGTCATCCTATGTTTTTCATGGCTGAGGTCTTTTTCTAAGGGCTTTGCAGTTAATAGAAATGGTTATGCTGTATCAATGACTTTGAGAGGGCTGCAATGCCATCAAAATGATTGCCCCTCGACTTATTTGCTAAGACGTACAGTAAACAATGGGATGCAGGTTAAGTGATTAACGACTAGTACGGATATGTCATTTTCATCTCATATTTCTGGATTCTATTTTAGTATGATTAATGATAAATATATATATATAAGACGGTAAGCTGTGAGGGAGAGGGGCAGATTAGCAAGGGGTAATTGCTGTCTGCTCTACTATATTTGATTTTTGATAAACATACTCAAATTTGGCCACATGGAGGTGTCTGCGACAGATCCTTCCGAATTTGCAGCCTAACCGGATTATTTATGTCCTCTGTCTTTCTGAGTTATTTATTAAACTTTGAATTGGAGCAAATTAAAATTTGTATTGTTAAAATGAGGTTTATATAAAAAATAAATAAAAATTAAATACAATTTTCCCAGATCAGATTTTATAGCCTACATTTTAACATTCTGATTTTAACATTGTACATTTTGTAGTTTAGTGAATAAACCTGTGTATGATTTAATTTTGCCATTATAGTACAACTACTATAACATATTTATAGGTTTAGACCAAATCGGGAGAATATGGAATTTTTTTTTTAAATCACTTTACAGTTTGTACCAATGTAAGCGTTTATTGCATACATTGAATCCGAGCTGTGGCCCTCTGTAAGCCATCATTCAGAAACTTTTAGGATCAGTAAATCTGTCATTTTCAAACAAAGCTGGAATTTCAATTTCTTCCAATGCCCTTTTTACAATGTTGCCCAATCTTTGTATTTGGGAATAGGACAGCCCAGCTTGAGAGGTGAGAAGCAGAGGTCCAGCGTGTGATTTGGTAGCACTCCATGTTCTGCTTTAAAATATTATAATTACTATCAAAATACACGTCAATCATAGAACACAGGCCCATCTTCTAATCATCTCTCAAAACCATTCTAATAGATTGCCTGTTTAATCGCTGCTCGGGATTTATCTCCCCACGTCAACAGAAAAAATACTGCCGTGATGAGATTTCCAGGACTTTCCTGAATCAATGGCACTCTCTGCAGCTTCTTCACGTATTTTAAAATTAGCTGCACCTTTTACATTTTCTTCCTTATGATAATTCAATATGCCGTTCCAAGCTCGCTGCTAGCGTTAGTGCTGTTATAAAAGGTCCAGAAATATCATTCATTAAACACCACATTTTTTTGCATTAAATCCAAATCGCTAAGTTTAGGCAAAAATAGCCGATCTTGAAAGGTTCTCCAATTTATAGTCACAATTCGGCTATTTTAACCTGAATTTTACCATGTGAATTTTATTCACTAAAACTCTGAGTTTTGCAAAAAATGTCCTGCTGGTAAATACCGCAAAGATTCACCCGCACCGGAGTGAACGCCAATAAATCTGCTCTTTTCATCGCCATTAACACCATCACCCCATCTAACACAGCAGGCATGGCCTAAACAGCAGCACTGTAAACAGCGTTTAACCATTGCAATGCTGTACGGAATGCCATTGCTCAGAATAATATGGAACATCATACATCCAACACACGTACACTCACATCGGCAGTGAATGTCCTGGACACTTGGAAACTGAAAATAAACGATTAATGTGTGCTGTGTATACAGTTATCATATATGTATATGCATCATTGAGATTGCTTGATAAATGGAGGATTCTATGAGACTTTGACATCGCACAAAGTGAGTATTCAGAGTGAATTTTGAAATTAAGGCCAAAGTAGTTGATTTGGAAACATAGCTAATTTAGAGATCGTTACAATGTTTCACGTTCGTTTGGCCTTAACTTTAAATAATCACTTTGAATTAATTTTGAATTCTCATTAACCCTAAGTGTCTCTATTCCATATTTATTTTTTATGTCATTTATTAAATCTTTAAAATAAATGTAAAAGTAAAAACATGTATTTTTAGTACCCCCTCCCCATACCCCCTGGTGTAGTAAAAGGTGTTTAAACTCACCTTTTTCCCCACTCCACCCTGGACCTGCCAAAGCTGGCTTGCCATCAGTCTGGATGATCTCAGCCAATCCAGTGCTTTCCATTAGAAAAGCATTGCGAGGAAATTGCGCATGCTCAGCGTAACGCCGCACTGCACCAATCAGCATCTCCTCACAGAGATGCACTAAAGCAAGGCATATCTATGGGAAACGATTAGGGCCTCCATGCAGAGCCCAGCAAGCACCTCTAGTGGCCATCTGAGTGACTGCAACTAGCAGTGTCAGCTAGCAAGAAATGTAAATACTGCCTTTTCTCCAAAAATGCAGTGTTTACATTAAATAGCCTGCAGGGACTGACTATACTCACCAGAACAACTACATTAAGCTGTAGGAGGAGCATGCGGCTTCTGCCATGCTGGATGAGGTACTGCTTCTTCTGCTTGTTACACGCGGCGGCAGAGCGGAGCCCTTTTTCGTATAGGGATGTCTCCGAGTGTAGACTTGGATCACCCCAACCTGTTCAAAGAAGCAGCGAACCGGGCACCAGCTAGCAGCTCGGATTGCACCAGGAAGGAGATTATCCACCTGTCCCAGTCTCGGGGAGCACAGCACCTCAGATCAAGTTCTCTGCGGCGTGTCTGCTGAAATTAGTCAGTAACTACTGATAAGCTCTATGTGGGCTACAAACTTTCAGTGGGTCGTTAGAGTCACTGATGTGCAAATATCAGCTGGGTAACCGTGCCTACGCATGCGATAGGCAATAGCTCATACAGGACGCGTCCGTCCAGCATGGAAGTCAGGCCCCGCCCATGAAATACTTCTATTATTTTACAAGACGGTTTTTCATGTTGTGACATCTGCAGCGTGAGGACTCGAATCCACAACACAAATGCTTCAGTTAGCGTTGTAAATAACAATTACTGTTTGTAGACATGGAAAATTCATCAAATCAGCTATGTTTTCAGTTTTGCCTATAATGTGAAATTCACTTGTAAAACTTACCAGGAAAGGTTAAAGGATCTTAACATGTATAGCTTGGAGGAAAGACGAGACAGGGGGGATATGATAGAAACATTTAAATATATAAAGGGAATCAACACAGTAAAGGAGGAGACTATATTTAAAAGAAGAAAAACTACCACAACAAGAGGACATAGTCTTAAATTAGAGGGACAAAGGTTTAAAAATAATATCAGGAAGTATTACTTTACTGAGAGGGTAGTGGATGCATGGAATAGCCTTCCAGCTGAGGTGGTAGAGGTTAACACAGTAAAGGAGTTTAAGCATGTGTGGGATAGGCATAAGGCTATCCTAACTATAAGATAAGGTTAGGGACTAATGAAAGTATTTAGAAAATTGGGCAGAGTAGATGGGCGGAATGGTTCTTATCTGCCGTCACATTCTATGTTTCTAGAATTGAATTTATTTAATTTATATAACCTTTAGCGACATTCAGATAAAAAATGAATGTAGTCCGGATGGTATGAAACATGTTTAGCAATGTACAGTGAAAAAGAGAGGGCTACGTGAAACAGAACAAAGAAAATATTGTCTAATAATGAGGTACAGAAGAATAAGGGTATTTACAAAAAAAAAACAACCTAAATTCAAAACAAGGTTAAAACTTAAAAATATAGACTGTGAGAGATGCAAACCTACAAGATTTGTCATTTAATCAGAGTAATAATACTGGTTTTCTTACAGGGAGAATAGCATAGCAAGGTATGTAAATGAGATATACAGCTGGATCTGAAAATGGATGTATGCACACACAGATATTATTGAAGGCTGCCAAAGGATAGAAGACGACGGGGATGCACACATCCTATTGTTACCTCAGATAAATAAATAAATGCTAGGCGCCCCCTAGTGCTGAATGGGTTAAGGGAAGCCCAGCGCACCTGCTGTTAAAGAGGCAGTGCTCACTCCCAGCTCCCTCCTCCCGCACGGTTGACCTAGAAACCAACATCTAGATTCTAGGACCCGGTGGTAGCCAATCACGTGATAGGAGAAAGGATTGGAGATGGAGAGGGTACAGCTGAGACTATTGGTGGGAGTAAAAAAAATAAAAGGATTGGGTGTAAGTCGTAAAGATGAGTTGGATGGATTGATACATTTAAAATATGAAATACCATTATAATGATGAAAATAAAATCATGGGAAATATAAATATTTTTAAAAATTAACATTAGCATTTATATAGTGCCAACATATACCGTAGCGCTTTACAGTAATACATTGGGGATATAAAACATATAATATAATCGAAATGCAACATATGTTTAATATATGTACAGTTTGTATGTAATTATATAAACTGACCAGATGTGAGATACTGTTACACAGTGAATGTGCTAATTGTTGTTATTGTTACCACATTCTGTGACAGCTCCATCCCTGTTATTTTAAGATGCAGATAGTCGTGGAGATGATGTTTTTATTGATGCAATTGTGAAAATGATAGGGCTATGGATACAGTCTAAAGGAAAAGAGACAGAGTGAGACAGACAGACAAGAAGACAGTATCTTGGAGATCAAAGGCAGAAAGAGGCAGGGGCCAAGTATCTGTAGACAAAAGAGGTGTGTTTGGAAGCAACTGGAAGAGTTAATGAGATGAGTGGAAAAAGAGGGAGAGAGGGGGGTTATTAAAGGACAGAGGGAGGTGGTGAGTTAATGATGGAGAGATGGTGAAGAAGGAATAGGGAAGAGCAGCAGAGGTAGGGACTGGCCAGTCACAAAGAATAAATAGAGAGAGAGGAAAAAAAGAACGTCTAGGAGAAAGCACAGAGAAACAAAGAGCAGGAACAGACCGGAGAAGGAGAGAGAAAGGAAAGGACACAGGAAGAGAGAGAGAGAGAGAGAGGACGCAAGGAGAGAGACAGGGAAGGTAGGGGGAGAATGAGAGAGGAGAGGGGAGGGAAAATACATTAGAGAGCAGATCAGGTTGAGAGAGTACAGGCAGAGATTAGAGACATCAGACGGAGGCAGTAAGACTGACAGGGCTTGGGAGAGATAGATGGTGAACAACGAACGAGAGACAGCGGACAGAGTGAGAGGAGGCTGAGCTTCCTACCACCCAGACAATAAGCTGTCACCAGGCAGGGGGACTGGGTACCACAGGTGCAAGGCTCCCCGCAGATAGAGGACAGGTCAGGACACGGGAGGAAGGCCCAGCCTATGTGAAAGCCAGGGAGGGCAGCTAAAGGATGCGGCTATCTGATGAATAGACGGAGGAAGGGTACAGACATAGGAGAGGAGCCAGCAAGAGAGAGAGTCGGACACGGGATGAGAGAAGAGGCAGGTTACCCCGCATCCGATTGCTACCAATACAGGTAAGACAATTCACACCTGCTCCATTAACACCTTCAATGCCGGCTCATAGCATTGTTAACCTCTTCCTCACCCGAGCACTGCAGAAAGCCACGCTATTGGCCCTTTCTTGCCATAGAGACACCGCTTACCACTCAATGAGCTTACTCCGGGGACCTGTTTTCCACTGAACCATTAACTCTTAGAGGGACACACTACAAAACAACCCCTTCGCCTGCCACACGGCACATTGCTTGCAGGTGACCATACCATCCAATTATAAAAAAATAAAAATACATACTTCATTGATGCACTGGATACAATGAGGACTGCAGTCTGTCTTTACAATGATTGTAGCCTTTCAGTGTGTACATTTTAAAATTCTCTTTATAAGCAGGCCTTTTGGTCACCTTACATTGCACCACTAGATTATTCCTTACCGAATATGCAGAATATTAACCCTTTGCTCTAGATTGTAAGCTTGTTCGAACAGGGTCCTCATCAATCTATTGTTCCTGTCAAAATTTATAATAGTTTGTTTCATTTATTGTTAAATTCCCCGCCTTTGTAATATTGCAAGGCGCTGCAGAATAAGTTGTCGCCATATAAAGGCGAATAAGAATAATAAGACTTATTCTTGTATGTCCAAACATCATTTCTCCTATTAATCCCTATCAGGGAAGGAAATTCTACATTAGCCTGCTCTAAATGCTTGCTTCTAAGTACCAGTAATGGCCTGCAGGGCATCACTCCATTAACCTGTATCTGCATTCTTGCAGAGCATCTCAACATGGACTTCAATATACCTTGCATTAACCCTTTATTAACAATAGGCCCGCTGGACACTGGTCAGTTTGGGTCTGAGTTGATCTGGGCTCCATCAACAAAGGGTTAACAGAGACCCTCCTCCCTACCCCCTCCTTATACACAGTCAATTAACTCTTTGTTGTAAAGTCTGGGGGAATGTCACACAATAAACTGGTTTCACTGTCACACAGCATCACATTACCAGCCCACAGGCCATAGCTTTTCGTATCCTGGAAATTCTGCTCCCAGTTATGTTTGTAGTGGGATTAACTATTTCCTTGCCACAGGCGTACACACTTTATACGATAGGCATGGGGTCACACCAGTGGACTGTAGCCTGGTTTGTGATCACACAAACACACACACACACAGGGCCACTTTGTAAAGGATATGAATGACACCTACAGAGATATGCTGTGTATGTATGTTTAAGTCCCACACTGCAGCAAAGTGCATTGTTTGTGTGATAGAATAATGTAATGTGGTTCTTTGTGTGACCGCCTCTCATCTTGGGGCCTATTAAGTAATTGCAGAATCTGCTATGGCAAAACTGTCTGTTTTCATTGGGCTCAATCTGCTTCGGTTTGGTTTGGGAAATCTCACGGAGGTTTTGCTTTGTACACAATACACCAAACTCCAACCGAATGGCTCCCTGCTATTCACAAATGGATCGTATAGCTCCAGTGAAATTAATTTGAGAATAGCTCAAATTGCAATCTAATATGTGTACACACAGAGAGTAGGGATACCCAGAATTCTGACTGCCTTCAAAACCTCCGCCACAACCCTTGTAGCCGATACTGTGACAAATGAACTCTTGGGGGGGGGGGGCGGAATAAAATGCATATCATTAATGAAGGACAAGGGGTTAGGGAGCCCCGCTGATATCATGACAGTGCTGGTATGTCTTCTGCTATGAAGGGGTTAATACCTTTAGCAATTCCAATGTTCCATTCCCGAGGGTTACATTTAAAAACGTTGTCGGCCATTTTGAAAGATGACCTGATGCTGACATATACTTTATTGTCTGAAGGCTTAAAAAAAGGAAGGGAGGAGGGTTAGGTAAAGAAAAAGGTTAGTCTAGTAAACAAAAATTAACATGCAGTAAAAAATAATGTCAGATGTAAAATATATCATTAGTTTCATGCATAGGTTACATAATAGGCATTTAACTAAATATATTTTATTTTAAATGTTACCATTTATTATTACAATTATTTCTTTTTTTTACATAACGCCAACCTATTCCGCAGCGCGGGTGTTTATAACATGTCAACACACACAGTAATCACTAGCTGTCTAGCTCCTATAGGCTAAGGGTAAACTCAGAAGAATTGTGGATCTTAGACAAGGGAAAGTAATCTAGGTGGAAAAAACACCCCCACAGTCGAATTGGAGAATGATTCTAATTCAGCTATTTTGACCTAAAATATACTGTATTCTCTCCTCACTTTTGCAATATAGTAAAATAAACCAATTTTGGCTACATTATTGAAAGATATGTATGTCCATATTAAGAGAAGGCCTTTCCTTTCTTGCTTATAATACTTAATGCGACAGACTACAAAGAATGAAACAAAAATAAAAACTTAAATTTAAAAAAAAAAAAATTTAAATTAAAGATATGGAATTCTCTGCTCATCCTGGGCCTAAATAGGTAAATCATTTTATAGAGCAGCATAATCTGTACCCGTTTGGTTTTGGCTAATTTCAAATGCATGCTGTTATTTGAAACATTTTGTTGCCAACAATGTGCAACGCTGCTGCATAGTCAGGCGCCATATAAATAAACAGTCTACGTACAGAGCAGCGAGGCTTTGTATGCCTATTGTTTGTATCTAATCTAATCCTTAGAGGTTTATTCAACAGTCATTGAAACCTAGCTAGATTAACCACCAGGTAACGTATGAACGGTTGCCTAGGGGCCCTTAGTGCCATGACAATAGTTGGCCAAGCTCGTCTCCATTCACCATCTCTCTGTTGAAGAGTGAAGGGATGATACTATACGGTAACCTTCCAAAGGCCCGAGGGATCATAATCCTCCTCTGATTGGGAATCTGCCGTGGTAGGATCAGTTTGCTATTCCCTGCTGTACGTCTGTGCAGGTGTGTACAAGCTCGACTGCTGTCTGCCGCTAGGTGTGAGCAGAGGTGTGGCTGCGTGTGGCTGCCTCAGAATTAGCATGGGCTGTGGAGGTATAGAATATGTGCCAGACCGTCCGTGTACACCCTGACATGTCTCTGTAAGTATGTAAATGTTTCCTGGCCTTAGCACCGTTATACCATTAAGAGCACGTTCATCACAGTGACAATCCTTCCCTTAGCCAGCTCACATCTCTGGCTTACACAAATCCTATCACTCTCAGCTTTTTTTGGAATACCATTCTAACTGCACAAAACTGGAGTGCCAGGGCTTGCCTATCACCGTATGTTCTCTTACTTCATTGAGTAGGCACTATTACTATATATATATATATATATATATATATCATGTTTACACATGTGTACTGTGCGTATGCATTTTGTACCTATGTCTAATGTTTTATTTATTCTGTATAAAATTATGAGTGTCTATGCTGTATCGTATGTGTGTATCACTGCATTGTACACGTTGTTTATGTTGTTAGATATGTGTGTATATATATATATAGATAGAGAGAGAGAATAGATAGATATGCATTGCTTACATTCACGACAACTGACTTCCAGAATTTAGACAAAAAAGTTCAAACTAAAAGCTTTCAATTTGGCCTAATTAGAGATTTGTTTGGGCTATTTTTACCAAAATGTTGTGAGTCTATGCTTCATGTATAGATTTTTTGTTTGGAAAATACATTCTTGCTTGCAATATGATTTTGTATGTGCATACGCTGTGTAGCTTACTGGACATACAATAATTTGAGGGTTATTTACTAAACAGTGAATGGCACCCAATAGAAAACAGAATTACAAAATTGAGTTCAATAGAGTTGAGTTTGGTTTCAGATTAATTTTACTCTTCCGTGAATGTCACCATTTTGGTCTGAATAGTCTGAGATTTCCTTTTTTCTTTTCACTTTTAACAAACATTGTTCATTAGAGACTGATATTCCACACCTGTATATTTTTCTGTTCTTTCTATCTTCTATAATGTATCGATACCGAGTGAATATACAGTTTGATGTCAGTTGTCTCAAACATACTTTAAGAACATTTTAATTTTAAACCGTTTCGCATCGAAGTACGTAAGTAAGTCTGTGCGAACACCACCATATTTGGGACTGTTAGTGGGTAATCACCTCATAATTTTTTTTTTTTACATTTAAACAAGTAAACCGTTTTAATAACATTTTAAATGTTAAAAAAATGTGTCAGTTACACTAAACGGGGGTTTATTCTCTCCTTTGGAATTTGTGGAGAATTGCCAGAAGAACTACAAATTATAGGGCCAAATGTGCCCTGTTAATTCTCTATATCTTAATTTAGCAAATAACTCCCAGCAGTTTAATATGTTATTAGATTTTAATACAGTTTATGATAATTATAAGATTTCTCTATGTAAACACTCGTCCGTGGTCCTGTACAATGTATACTAGTAGTATACACTAGATATGCATTTATCGGTATCTAAAATCTGGCCGTATTTGAGTACACTGTAAGGATGCCACTCCAAATGTCTATGAACTACATTTCCCAAGATGCTCAGCCAGCACTCGAGGATCCAAGGTGCTCTATACAGCCATGTATTAATTATGTGGATAGAGACAATAAAAGGCTGTGTGTACTTCCATTTGCTGCCTTTCCATGTGTGTTTTGTGTGTAGACAAAGATTCGCATTTTGTGCACTGCGATTTCATTCTGCCAGTGTGTGTACTTAGATGACCCTGCTATTGTGTGCTGTGTAGACATGGCTGGGTACAGATACTACACCCAGTATTTGTGCTGTGAATACAGATATCATTCTGCATTTTGTTAATCTGTACAAAGAAAACATGTACATGTCAATGTCAGCCTCCTCTGAGTGTACATGTATTAACCATTTAGTGCCTGTACTATTTGCAGAATGTTACACTGTTAAATATGTGTAGACCATGGATAGACCAGGTGTTTTGGACTACATCACCCAGAATGCTCTCACATAATAATAATCACATTTGGAATGCGGAAGGTTGCTTACCTTTAGTGTAAACACTATTTAGGGATGATCTAAAGCACTGATGGGCCTGTGGCAAGGCTTCTCTGGTAGCCACCTCTCCTTTAGTAGTGTGCCTGGCCAGCGATGGGGTATATTTATAAGTGACTCAGCTAAGGGTGGATTATTTGTGCCCAGTTTCTAAACCTTAGCATGTACAGTTCCTCCAGCCCTTCTTCCTGATAGTGGACCCTGTGCGTACAGGCATGGCAACGTAATTCTGTATTCTTGTTGTGTGCACAGACTATGATGTATTTGTTCTGAGCATCCTGACATGATATGATGCTGTCATGGATGCACACAGACCTGACAGCCATGACACTGCATGTACACACATAGCAAATCCAACATAAAAACCACAGGCCAAGCACAATATGGCCGTATAACGTGCCATCAACACGCTTTCTGAGATCTGTGATTTATACAGCTTTTCAAATGCCCGTATTGGGCTAGGTGTGCATGGAGTGCGCTAATTCCCTCGGGTATATTGTATGTGCAGACATGACAATCTGTATCTGCTCTGTGTAGACAGAGATACAGAGATAACACAACTCTGTTCCTTTGCTGTGACAACCGACAGCGTATCCCTGTACGTGTGCTGTGGATAGTGCCATTCTGGGCTGCGTGGGGTTAATGCCTGCTCAGGCGGTATATGAAATATCTGTTCAGGTGTGAGACCAACAGCAATTTGTGAACCTGAGACTTTCCTAACAACTACACTGTAGCAGGAATTTAATCTACTCCTATCTGTGGCTCACTTCCCCCCTGCAGGGTGACACTATGACAAGAGAACGGACTGTACTCTGATTCTGTGTATCACAGGGACGAGAGAGACACTAATTCTATATTAACTCTCTGCAAGCTGTCGCACAGTAATAGGAGGAACGTGCTGGAGCCAGCTGGTTGGGAGCACATTAACAGTGTGAGCGAAATCAATGAGACACTGGCTATACTCCGAGATTAGGCATCGCTGAGAAGTAATCAGCGCGCATTAATTCAGCAGCGCTAGAACTGTCTGTACACCAAATGAAAAATAGAGAACTTCTTGTACATTCTCCCTAAAGCGTGGTCACGTGTAGTCTTCATATATTTGTGATCAGGCTACCAAGCCGAATAATGGTGGGTAAGGGAAAGAAATTGTAAGTCCAGAGCGGTATACCAAAAATCGACATGGCGTGTGAGTCTGAAACACGGTCAGGCTCGGCAAATTGATTAATTAGGGTATTAAAATTAATGGTTGGTAACACAGACAGCATCCTCCGGTGTTGTTGGAAAAATGTAGCCCATGGAGCAGCGTAGCTAATGGGAGTGGGCCTTGACATTGCCAGGAGACAGGCATCTAAGGGTCAGTGGTTAGGGATTGGTTTAAGGAAATGGAGTGGGGTGGAGTTATAAGAGGAGTATAAGTAGTGGCCATTTTAGATCTAGGGATCATTTTAATCTAACTTGCACTTACCTGTTGTTGTCCCACTCACCCTCCCTTTGCTTTCAGGTGTTTCCCGTTTGGTCACGGCGGCTGGGGATGGAGAGTAAAGTTGGGGGGAGAAAAGAGTGAGATGGGGGAAAGTTTGGAGTTCAGGGCTAATAGGTAGGCCTTTGGACTGGTTTGGCAGGTTCGAGCTCGTAGGTAGCTCCGAACCGGGGTGTGTAAGGGTGTCTCGGTATGCCCCTACACTTGTGGTGCCCTTTGGTGGCAATGGATGGTGCCCTTTGGTGGCAATGGTCATGTTTCAATGTTAAGTTAAATGTTACAATGTTTGGGTATTATGTTATGTGGGAGTGGGTCATTGTCAGGGGGTTAGAATTGTAAAATGCAGGATGGTAATTGTGCAGGCCAATGTTGGCCTGCTGTTGGCAATGACCTTTATAATTTATGTTAAGAATCAATAAAGCTGTGATATAAATTTTGCCAAAACTATGGTGTCAGTGTTTTATTGGTAAATGGGTAATGGTGGGGTTTATGCATATGCCGACAAGGCGACCATGCGCATGTCAAGAGACAGATATTTAAACCATGCACACAACATCCCCAGCCCGCATGGGTACAAACTATTTATCAATGGATAGATGGATAAATAGAATGACAGACAGGTAGCTGATAGGTAGGTAGGTGATAGATAGGTAGGTAGATAATAGGTAGGTAGGTAGATGGTAGAGAAATGAAGACAGACGTGTATATTTAAAGGGAGGGAGGGTTTGTTCAAAATGTAAAATATATACAGAGAGCGACAGCCAATGTGAAATGCCAGATTTAATTTTTAAGAAGCCAAGAAAGCAATGTATTCATAGAGATTTTGATCGCTGGGCGGAACAGATGACAGCCATCTTTTGCTTTTAATTTAACTCAGTTCGGTAAAGTGCATTTGCTGCTGTTCATAATAATATTCAGTAAAAGTCGATTTTACAAAACATTACTGCTGAACTAAGTCAAAATTGAGCAGGAGAGTTCATTGCTAAATTCGCTGTCGATGACTGCAGTATTTAGCAAGTGGCGTTAAGTGGACTTACGGCCTGCGGACAGAATCTCGAAATAGGCGGGGCTTAACCTATGATGTCACACTTGATGAGCTAGGACATCAGCATGGAAGTTCCGCCGCTCATATTTAGGATCTTTCATTATTGGCAACCAGAATAATTGAAATTAAACATAATCAGGTTGTTTTAATAGACCCTACAAAATATGAAGCCTAAATGTGCTTAGTTACAGTACCAACCTCAGAATGGCCCTAGAAATGTCACAAACCGCTAGTCAGTGGTATATAAAAAGGCAGAAGATTTGGCAGTCAAATAAAATGGCGTTCTATGGTAAATCCGAAATCTGAGGTCAGTAGAAAGAGTGTAAAATGTGATGTGATTAAATCAAATACAGAAGATTAATCCAAATTTCATAAACAAGCAATTTGGAATATGGATTTTAACATATTTTACCAAATTATATTATTCTGAGAACCTTTGAATACCCTAGCATTATTATGTATGATGGGTAGACTGGCTGCCTTGCCAGCCAATCAGGTGAACCCATGCACAGTGTGCGCATGCGCAGGCAGAAATGCTCAGGGTAATTATGTACGCACACTATATTTGGGGTTTATTCCCAAACACCAAGTCATGGTGGATTGAAAACTGACCTGCACATATTTAGACTCTAATAGCTGTTGTAACTATAGTCGACTTTTTCTCAATCAACTAAACTTTTTTGTTAGCTATATTTTATTAAATATTAGCTAAATTTAGAAATTGTTTTTTTAATCACCTACAGTCCCATGTCTAGTGAATAAACTAATTTATAGAGGATTTTCTCTGGTGTGCCTTGAAGGACAGTAAAATAAAACATTTGGAATGATGAGATGCAGGTTTACAAACAGGACTGTCACACCAGATCCAGGACAATTAGGTGGTCTGATATATTGCTACTTCGGTCTTTAAAGAAACTCTAACTTGTCAGGTTTTAATGATAACCTTAATTCAGTCATCTGTATTCATATAGAGATTAACAAAAGAAAAATACTTTAGTATCAAATGATTTTAGCATGCAGTCAGCTCTAAACTGTTAAAGAATGTGTCAAGTTAGCTCTTCTCTTGGCCCCAGGTCTTGAATTCTGATTTGTCCCTGTCCCCTCTCCGCTAGTCTCTTCTTTCTTTCAAAGATCTCATTTCACTTTTTTAATTCATCTTTTTTCCCCCATCCTTTCTCCCAAGCCCAGCTCTGACCTTTTCATTCTGTCTGCATGTGTCTTTTTGTCCCACCTAATCCCTTACTGGCAAGTCGTACCCGACAGGGTAAAAGACAGCAGAGTACAAACTGATTGACTACTAAATAAAATATAATTGGAAGAGTCTGTGTCTGCATGTCAATGTTCTAAAGTAGAATGTCAGTTGGCCAATGGGATTTCAGCCGGTGGAGTTTCTAACTTCCGTTGGGTATGAACAATTTAGGCTGAAACCCTTGTAAAGCTCAATGCCGGTCTTTGACATTTAATTTGCCTAAGGTTGGTGTTCCCACTGGTAATTTTTCACAATCAATGTCATGACTGTACCCAACTGTCCTCTGGAATCAGAGATTCCTAGGTGACTCGGCACTTAGGGTTCACAGATCCATCATGTGGTCCTGGACGCATATCAATTCTAAATGCTGACGGACAGCACGAAAGCGCTGTTATTGTGTATGTATCCTTCAAATGCAGCAAGAAAATAATCCCTGAACTTATTCGGGCAACTCCATTGGGCTTTCTGCATTTATTATACATACTACAGGGCATCGTCTTTATATACAGCACAACGATGGAATATCTGCATTGACCAGTTAACAGGGGTAAAGGGTCTTCAAGAACCCCCATTCTTCTTTGTCCAATCAGCTCCCATGTTGTCATCTAGATAAGGCCCCAGTCTTTACATTCTTATAATCACATTGTCCCCGTGAGAACATTTGACAGATGACGGGAGCACAAGGTAAGGAGCAATTTAATGCATACATAACTAGGGAAATGTGCATACTCAGCAGGACTGGCTCCGAGGAGGTAGAATGTGGAAGCCAGAGTGACTTCTTCTAGGGGTTGGGTAGATTTTAGATTTTATGCCTTTCTTGCATTATTTCAATACATTACCTGGATATCATCTAGATACCCTATAGCAGTCCACTGTTCTCTAGATTGTAAGCTACTTCGAGCAAGGTCCTCATCGAACCTTCGATCCTGTCGGAATTTGTAATAGTTTGTCGCTAATATTGTAAAGTGTTGCGGAATAGGTTGCACTATACAAATGCAAGTAATGGTAGCTAACCATGCAGAACTGCAGATGACTACAAACTACATTTCCCAAGATTCCTGCTGTCTGCAGTGCCAAAAAGTAGCCACCACTGTCTTAAAGATTGTATAGACCAGCTGTAGAACTACAACCCCTCCAATGCATTGCACTCTATGACCTGAACATTGCTTTGAAGGCCTGGTTTGTAGGTCAGGTTTTGAGAACTTTACACTTGGCCTAAGGACACTGTAACTCTCTGTGCATTCTGATAACATGCATTATTTGTAACAAATAAAATGTGTGTCGGTTGCAAGGATTCAAATATCAATCTGTGAGACAATAAAATGAGTTATATAAACACTACACAATTATTCACTAAATTGTGACCTGCAAAAATCCAAAATGGAAACATTTATCTAAAAATAGCCGAGTTGATCATTTTTTTTCCAGATTACTTATTTTTACCTAAATTTTGCCGTTTGGAATTCAGTAAATAACCCTGTATGTCTTTATATAAACAGGCTGACCGTACCTGTATGATGTAGAGCTGTGAAGGTTAACCTCTAGCACGGCAACAATGTGGATGTTGTGTCCTATAATTCCCCGACAACTTTAGTGGCAGTGGTTAGCCATCCCTGTTACTGGAAATGTGTCTTCTATTGTTATTATCTGACTTGTGTCGTGTTACAGTGAAGTACTTTGTGTTTCTCCGCAGTGTGAGTATGAGTGCGGGGTCTGTGGAGCAGGAGCCGGCTCGGAAGCTGGGCTGTTGTGGAGTGCCAGTGATCACAGAAGACATGCAGGCCCTGGCTATACGCAGCCTGTCTGGGAATGAAGTGCAGAAACATTACGAGCTGATTCGGGAGCTGGGCAAGGGCACGTATGGCAGGGTGGAGCTGGTATCCCACAAGAGCACAGGTAACATTGTCCAGATTAATTACGTATATTTATATAATTTATTTATTTAATTGGTTAGCAAGGTTATTTACTAAAATGAGAATTCATAGTGGTTTTCAAAGTGAATTGCATATTTAAATATTCTAATTTTAAAGAACATAACATTTCCTCTATATTGTGCTAGTAAATGTATAGACTGGGAAAAAAACCCTATTTTAAAAAAAGTATTTTCTCCCACTTCTCAGTCAAATCATTGGCATAGACTCTATTCCAACCATTTGACTGACTCTATGCCTACTCTGTATGCACTGCATAGGGATTATATGAGTTATAGGAGTATAATTCTCTCTGCAGAGTCATAGCGCCCATGCACGGCATGAGCACGTCTAATGATGCGCTTGCACTGTGCTACTGAAGGACATTTCCCTGGGGTTCCTGGATGCTGACAGGACCCCAAAATCATGACACTTGATGGGCCTAAGAAATTACAAAATAAAAGCAGTCTGTGAATTTTCTACCAGAGAGTTATTCACTAGACGGAGAACTGTAAGGAAATCCAATCACAGGCCTAAATCTCCAAGCTAGAACTACTGAGCTGAAGTTGAATTCAAGATTTGCTATTTTGGCCTTAAGTTAAAATGTCCTCGGCCAGTTTGTGACAATTACCACTTTAGTGAATAATCCCTTGGTTCTCAGTCTAGACCTGTGAGTATTGATCCTGTAATTTAACCTGAGATCAAGATATAGCAAAGATAATACTTTTCTTTAGGTTTTGGGGCGGTAAAGAACAAAAGAAAGTGAAGTCTTTTAGAAGAAATGTGAGCTTTCATTGCCATAAAAGGTGTGCTTAGATGATCATCTTACTCCTGGAAACCTTAACTTGCCCTTTCAATATGGCCTGGAGATAAATATGTTCAAACAACATCAGAACATTAGAGTTTGGTAAAAATTATTCTCTACTCGATTCAAAGCAGATCTGTAGAAACACTAGAACGAATGCAACACGAATAGTAGTTTTGGCTTCTCCATATTGTTATCAGAGAAGGATTAAGATAACACTGGACCCTAGGCAGATTACCCTGTCATTCTACTCATAGAGAGAATGGGACCAATAACATTTCTGATTACGAGTCCCCAGTCTAACCCTTGGGCCCTGTGCCCCAGCGCCATCTCCCCTTATGGCTACTCCCACTTTATTATATTCACTTACATTTTCCCCCATAGTTGTTGAAGGGAAGCCCCATTTTATACAACCTCCAGGTCTCTGCCTTCTCTTCCATCAATCTTATACCGGTAGAGATCTAGCACTCGCCACCAGGTTTTTAGGGTTTAAGATATAGATTGTTATTATTTTACCCTAAAACCAGTGAAACAGGAATAAATTCAATGGACTGAAGTCCAGTCTGGGGTTTTACTACTGGAAGACAGTCTGAGAGTTACAGGGATATTTTTGTAGTAAAATGAGCGTTTGTTATTCTACAGATTTTTTCTTTTGTGATACTTTTATACATTACTCAGCACAGTACAAACATTTTGTGTTACGCCCTTACATTACCACCACCACAAGTCTGGAATTTCTACTCTGCTTATAACCCTCCTTTCCTCCTCTATAGTGTTTTTCCCAATTCACTTTGAGGGTACACATTTTGTTATTGCGCATACAAGGAACACAATCATACAGACTCCAAAGGTACTACAGACAATTTGGCCCTACCTGTTTTACAATGCTCCAGACAGGGGTGCTGAGGAAGCAGATCAATTCCTTAGCCAGGTTAGGGGTTCCCCTGAGATGCTGAGGCAATGATACCCAGTTCATTGAGGGGTGGACTAGTTATTTAATCAACTTTGTTTAAAGGAGCACTATAGGGTCAGGAACACAAACATGTATTCCTGACCCTATAGTGTCTAGCCCCCCTGGTCCAATCTTGCCCCCCTAAATATAGCAAAATCTTATCTTTATTCCAGTCTGCTGCTGCTGGCTCTTCCTGTGATCTGCCTGATTGGCTGACATCATCAGAAGCGTTGTTCTGAGCCAATCACAATGCTTTCTCATAGGAAAACATGGGATTGGCTGAGCTTGTCAAGGAGGCATATCAGGGGCAGAGCCAGCACAAGCCAAACACAGCTAATAAAACTGTGGAATTGTATGTATCTTGAGTTGGTTTTAGGCAAGAGATACATTCCTCTCTAGGTAATACTTTACAAATCTATTTAAATATGTATTCTGAGGGAGATATATATACAGGTATATTCTGTTTTGTTGACTTAGGTAATTAATTCCACTGCATGTCTGATTTAAAGACCGGATGGTTCTAAGATTCTTTATCACTCTCCAAAACAGGTAACAAGATGGCTCTAAAGTTTGTAAACAAGAACAAGACCAAGCTGAAGAGTTTCCTTCGGGAGTTTAGCGTGACCAGTGCTCTGTCCTGCAGCCCTTTCATCATCCGGGCCTTCCATGTTCTTTTCCAGACAGAGGATTGCTACGTTTTTGCTCAAGAGTATGCCCCCGCTGGGGACCTCTTCGATATCATACCTCCACAGGTGATACATCAGGGGGGACATGATGGGCTTTACAGATTTTGTAATTATTATTTATAACAAGCCAAAAAATCCACAGAGCAATACAATAAAGATAGCAATAGTTACCAACTAGTATGACATAGTAACAGGACGTACTACATAAATTTAACAATGCCCAAGTTTAAATTTTGTAGTTGTGTGCTGGGGGGTCCTCCATACAGAGTCTTGATTTGTATATGTATGTGCAGACATATATTAGCACATGTGGAAGCTGTCAATGTGTAATGTATTTTCTAGAAACATGGCACTCTGTTTGTCGCCTCTTCCTTGTAATTTCTTCTTTTTCTAATTGTCTTTTTTTTTTACCAACTCACCAGGTGGGTCTTCCTGAGGACATGGTGAAACGTTGCGTCCAACAGCTTGGTTTAGCTCTTGACTTCATGCACAGTAAAAGTTTGGTTCACAGGGACATAAAGCCTGAGAATGTCCTTCTGTTTGACCGTGAGTGCCGACGGGTGAAACTAGCAGACTTTGGCATGACCCGTAAAGTGGGCTGTAGAGTGAAACGGGTTAGTGGTACCATCCCATACACAGCACCTGAGGTGTGTCAGGCTGGACGTTCTGAAGGGTTTCCAGTGGAGACAAGCTTAGATGTCTGGGCTTTTGGGGTACTCATCTTCTGCGTCCTCACAGGCAATTTTCCATGGGAGTCCGCATCACCAGGGGATGCCTTCTTTGAGGAATTTGTGCACTGGCAGAAGGGACGGCTGCCAGGTTTGCCTTCCCAGTGGCGTCGCTTTTCAGACAATGCACTACGAATGTTTCAACGCCTGCTGTCACTGGAGTCGGAAAAAAGGAGCCCAGTCAAGGAAGTGTTCTTCTACATCAAATATGATCTGTTGTCTGAGGCAAGACGAAGACCTTCCTATCGCTCACGTAAACAAACAGGAGACAAGTTGCCACCAGTGCCCCAGCGCCATGAAAACCCAACTCCCCTCAAGAGGACAATTCTTACAGAAGGAGGCTCCTCACCACGTGCTCCTCATTCTCTGCCAGAACCTGGCCAACCATCTACTGGTGCTGGCAGGATGGAAGGACGACAGGACAAGAGCAAAGCTCAGATGCTTCTAGCCACTGCCATTGAAATCTGTGTGTAGGATGGTTGTTCATTTGGATTTTATGCCTCATGTCATTGACCGTAGTGAAGGTCACCTCCTATCGAGGACTTTAAACAGGTTTGACCACAAAGGAAATGAGTGCTGTAGAGCCTACAAGCAAAAAAAAATAAAAAAAATTACAAAAATGGAGGTCAGTCTGATGCAGACATAGGCTTAACGAAAGAAGTAACTGATATTCAACATTATCTTTTGGGAGGGGTTGGGGAATTGCGAAGCACTTTGATCCAACCTTGGTATGTGAAATATTAGATTTAGTGACTTTATTCACTTTTGTTCCCATCTGTGTTGGGATTGAAAGACTAAGCACGGTGCAGCTGTGCAATAGACTGTAGAATGGACTTTGCTGGTGAAATGTCAGATGCCCACAGACTGAAGCACCACGCAGGTACAGAATTGGGCAGTATTAGTGTAAAACATCTTCGTCCACCTACAACAAAACACAAAGTACACTAATACTATGAAATAAACAGCACAGATAGGGCTAGGGCAATCAAACCAACTCAACATTGCGTTGCCTGGCAAATGTCCAAAGCTCCTTACCAATCTCAATACAGGCAAACCCTCTCCTACATTAATGCACAGGACAATGAAGGCAGTATCGCGATATAACCACTCAACCAAGATGAAAATAAAAAGGGCTTGCAAAACTACACAAAAATTCTGCCTGTCACAGGGTTACGTTGTAATGATCTGAATTACAAAATCTCGTAAAATAGACTGAGGCCCATCACAATCCAATACATATCACAATTTAGCCTTTTTTTTTTTTTACATGAATGTTATATATTTTGTAAGAAGAGAGCAGATATAATTTACTGCAGCTCGTTCCCTTTGAAAACAACTCCCCACCCCTCCAAAGCTCACCCAAACCTAGGGAGATAATTGTGAACTTTGGCACTGCAGTTTTTTTTATAAACTACGTTTCCCATGATGCTCAAAAGGAAATTTAGTTTACATACTTTTCCAGTGCCATCGTCAGCTACCACTACCCAAAGGACAGCGTATTAACATCCAACCAACTGGTGCTTCTTTTATAATTATGTTTTATTTTTACATTCTTCTGTATCTTTTTTTTCTCTGATACGACACGGCTCACACCGTACAGCTGATTTGTGATTGGCTAACCCACCACTTTCTTGTTAAGGTATAGCTCTGATTGGCTTAGAGACAATCTGGAATGTTCCGCTTAATGGCTCAGGCAGTTGCCATGGGAACCTGCAACCTCCGGAGCTGCTTACTCTGTTACACTTATATCACAATCCATAGAGGCACTCATTTTCTATTAATAATAAATGGACATATTCCAAATACTATGTGTTAAGAGAAAACCAAATTCTCCCCTTCACCTTTTAAATCATTCACCCACCTGGCACTTAAAGGGTCAATTTTAAAAAACATTCATGGATTTATATCACTGAAAGAATATATACTGTGCTAACTAATGTGAGCACACTATATAAATTTTTTGTTTTTAACTTCAAATTAGTCAAATCCTGTAATAGATATGCTATCTGCACCCTCTTATCATAATGGTTACTGTCCAGCTAGTGTGGAAGAATATGCACACCTCACCTCCACTCGGTCCCGCACCCACGTTACATTTTAATCAGATTAATTTTGCAATAGAATATGTGGGGAGCTGGATTATTGAATATTAACTTGAAAGTCATTACGTGATTTAAGAAGCCAACAGTGAAGATTTTGAGTGATTTTTGAAAGATTTAACTCACATCACAAAAATTCCTTCTGACAGTCTTTACCCTATCTTAATAATCAGCTATGCAGAGCTCATGTAGCTAAGCTAAGGGTTGTTTTAATGTTGCAAGCAATTTATGTTTCGAACTTTGAGTTTTCATTCTTCACTTTTGGGACTTATCATTGCTTCACATGACTAAAACCAGTGCATTTATCTTGCCGTTGTATTCTAGGCACACATCTTTGCCCAGGGAAGTCCCTGGGCTCTCGAAAATCAGGGTAAGTGATCAAATGTAGCATTTAAAAAAAAACAAAAAAAACTACAAAAATAGAGCCTTGGATGGGTTCTTCATAGGCCATTCAATGCCCGAGTTGGGAAAAGTGTCTCTCGATATACTAGTTTTAGGAATAGACAGAAGGGAGGCTCCTACCAAGTTTGTTGGCATTTCACCTATTTCAGAGAGGTGATGCCAATCAAATGATAAAAAAATACAGTCATATACTTCATATGCAAGCATTACACACTTCTAATTTTCTGTTGTCGGCTTAAAATAGTCACCTTGTATAAAGGGCTATAGCATAACCAGTAAAATAAAAAGTGCCCTCTTTTCGTGAGTATAGGATTGGTGTACATCAGATTCAAAATGGCAGCCCTTTGGTTACGCTTTCTCACATCAAGATGGAGCTTGCTGAGCCAGGGGGATAGAAAACAAAAAAAGCAAAGAAAAATAATTTATTCATGCCTACAAAAACCTTTTGAAAAATTGTGGTTTTTTTTGTTGTTTTTTTTTAACTAAGCAGTCAGAGCACAATCTCCCTTACAATCTTCCCTGGTTGTAAGGTCTAGATCTAGGGGTTGAATAAAGGTCTACACATATTTTATTTTACGTTTAGTACGAGGCCCCTGTACATCCATTAATGGTACTTTAGTAGCGATCTCCCCCCCTTTGCCTTAGATGTCTTTAATGTTCACAATATTAGTGCAATAATGTAGATAAGGTGATAATTGTTAAAAACATTTTTAAGTGTAGGATATTTCTGATTCCAAGTTAGGGCTAGTTTAGAAATGTTACCTCAGTTTAGCTGAATTATCGAAGTATATATAAAAATATGTATAGCGATATAGAAAAAAAAACAAGCTCTTAAATGTGTATTCTTGTTTAAATGTGAAAATATTTTGTTCCATAATCCTTTGTTCCACTCTGAAGGCAGACTGGCAGCAACATTGTTTGACCGTACACACCTCAATATAACTATATGTATTTATTTTATTTTTTTAATCATTTTTGAATCTGCCTCATAACCATGGCTCAAGTTACATTTTTTTCCCTCAAGGATTTGGTAACAGTCTGCCTGATTTCTATTTACCTTTACCCCTAATATGGACTTAATAAAAAAAGGTCAAATAATTGACTAAACCGGCCTACAGTGAAAATGTCACACACAGTATCCGATGGGTCAGCTAAAGTGAATTGCTTTTCCTGGTCCTTATAAAGCAGGCACAGTGTAGGTTGAACACTGGACCAATGGGTGAAAACTCACCTATTAGCCTGACCATCCCACAGGGAGCCCAGACTCACAGTTGAACTTAGGACCTTCTATATAGGAGACTAACCAGAGGCAGGAACAAAGGGGACATTACTTAAAGACCATTTCACTGACAAATATAAATAAATAAATTTATATTTAGTACATATACCCCCAATGAAAACATGCATACATTTAATTATGCATTGTTTAGTTGAGTGTATATCTAAAATCAGATTGCATAAACTGAAGATAAGTTCTTGTCTGCAGCCTTTACAAGCCCTTCCCTTCTAGCCTCACTCAGACTTTCTGTGACTGTCCAATCACAGACTTCCCAATGCAGCTCAATGAGAGATTTTTGCAAGGCAGGTGCTCTGGGCAATTGCTGCCTCTCGAATTTAACTCCACTGAGCTAACAAAATGTAAGAAGTAACATGGCCAGTTCCAGATTGACCGATTTAGGGGGTGTAACAAGGTTAGTTTATAATTGTGCCAAATTCTATTGAAATCTTCACTTTTTAAAAAAAGTTAAAAAAGCAGACACACTCTTCACACAGCCATTCTGAAATTATCAAAGGGTTCTGTCACTCAACAGTAAACTGTAACCAAGCTTTGAAATTAAGGTCAGTAAAATAAGCTGAAAAAAATTCACAAGCTCCTCTGTAGTTACAGCCCTGCAGCTTTAGTCTGAATTTGTATTACTCCGCAATCACAGATAAATAATATTACAATTCAGTAAATATATGACCTATTGTACGCTACCTAAAGACCCCACCCTCAAAAAAAGAAATGAACATAGTCTTGTATAAAAATTAGGATTAAAATTTGAAGCAGATATATCTCCTTCATATCTAGAATATTAGTACCAAGAATACTCAATATAGATGCATTATACATAACATACTTAAATAGTTCCCTAGAGACTTTATTCGGTTCCATATAACAAAATGTCAGCTAACCATTATTAATGCCCGCAGCATTTTTTTTATTTTGCATTTAATATCAATATATTCAAATCACCCACATGTGATTTGAAAATGTCCTAGAGGCTTAATACAAACTGCAGCTGCTTTGCAGACCTGACTGCGATTGAACTCAAAGAATGATGGTCAGAATTTATAATACAGGTTTGTTAACATATTATTCATTACTAAAATTAATAAACATCTTTAATTCATGCATTCTGGGGAAGATATAGAATTGAGTTGGCAGATCACTCTTTGATTTAAACACCTACTTTAGCGCTAGATTAGTCCCCCAGCTGCTTTGACGTGTGTATTTGATGTATCCTTAAATTATCTGCAGATCAGATCTTTAGCATCTAGAACTTTTCAGGTTATATATACTAAACAGTGCTTTATCAAAGTGTTGTGTTCTAGAAGCGGTGCAAAAGTATAAAAGGGGTGGAATCACCAATGGAATGTGCCTGCTGGTTCTAGTGGTTTCCGTAGTGATTGCCCTACTTTTTACAACAGAACATTTTGACAAATCTTCCACATTGAGTCGATTCATGTTAAAATAAAAATTGATATGGAAGTAGGGGATTATCAAAACTGACACACACTTTTTTTGTATTCCTAATGCCTGGCGGGGCTGCAATCAGAACTCTTGGGGTAAATAATAAAACTATTAGCCCCCCAACACACAATCACATACATATACAAAGACAACCAAAGACAAACACAGAAATGCATTAAATGCACACTTACAGCCCGTATACACACAAGCACAGAAATATAGATATATACTCATAGACACAATCACATGTGCCCAGATACAAACTTCCAGACACACACAAAGATACTGCCAAACACAAACATAGTCACAGATAAACCACCACAGACACTGTTACATACTGCCAGTCACACACAGATACACACTGCCAGACAAGCACACCACAGATATACACTGCCAAACACAAACAGATACACATTGCCAGACACACATACAGATACACACTGCCAGACATACACACCACAGATTCACACTGCCAAAAACACAAACAAACAGATACACACAGACAGACAGACACACACACACACACACACACACAGATATGCACTGCCAGACAAGCACACCACAGATATACACTGCCAAACACAAACAGATACACATTGCCAGACACACATACAGATACACACTGCCAGACATACACACCACAGATTCACACTGCCAAAAACACAAACAAACAGATACACACAGACAGACAGACACACACACACACACACACACACAGATATGCACTGCCAGACAAGCACACCACAGATATACACTGCCAAACACAAACAGATACACATTGCCAGACACACATACAGATACACACTGCCAGACATACACACCACAGATACACACTGCCAAACACAAACAAACAGATACACACTGCCAGACATACACACCACAGATTCACACTGCCAAAAACACAAACAAACAGATACACACTGTCCGACAGACATATACACACACATACACGCAGATACACACTGCCAGACACACACTTATCCAGATATATTGAAATACATATATTGATTTTTGGCCTCTTTCCTCTTTGCCTTTCCAAGATGGGGAGTGAACTGCGCTATGTGAGGGCTGTCTATTCACACCTGCAAGGCTTTCTTGAAATTAAGACATGTTTTCATGTTCATATATTAATGCTCTGCTCTGTCGCAGTCCAGCTACACAGTTCAGTTATGTGGGAGATATTTCTGTCTTCTGTCTTGGATACAATATTATAAAAAGTCACTTCTGTACAAATACTAAATTTGAAAATTTCCAACAAGAGAGTCCTATTGTATGGTCTTGCTCATACAAAGGTTGTGGAACAAAATAAAACATTGTATTTTTTTTTTATATAGTTGTGTGATATGTCATTGTACTGAATGTGTCTTAATGTGTTCCTGCACTGCAAATATAGGGAAGAGAATTAGAAAAATAAAAGTGATTGGAAATGTATTCATTGTAATATAATCTTCTCTCCATCCTCTGAAAAATTAGATGGGACGTAAACTGATGGTGCAGAGGAAATTTTATACAACGTGTGTGTGTTTTGATTCTTGGGTTTTTATTTTCTCCTTGTAGACTAAAATTAAAATAAAATAAAAATTAAATAAAATAACTGATAATGTGCGTCATGTTTCTGTAGGGTGGAAATTTGAGAATGACCAGGAGGAGATACGAGTGAGATGAATGATCTCTTTATAGAACATAACTAGGAAAGAGAGGCATAAGCAATAGTGAGATGGAACAAGGTCATTGTCATTTATAAAGCATTGCGCCTTAAAAATGAATTGTCCTGCACACGTCTAGCTGAAGCACATTCAGAACCAAGTGGTAAACAGATTTGCAGTGTGATACAATGCAGGATTTTATTCAATAAATCGCGAATCTAATTGACAGGGAATTGCAAATTTAAGGACAAAATAGTTGAACTAAAAAAATAGCTGTAGTTGCAGAATATTTGATAAATTTTACCTAAATTGTACAATTTCCTCAATAGTTCTCATTTAGTGAAGAAACAAAGCCCCTTTGTCTGTTTGATCCCCGTGTCTTTTTATACTACTTGATATTCTGTGCTTGTTGGTATAAGGTTATGTACTTATAGATAACAATGCAAGAATAGGTACGCTTTCTAAAGCCAACGTTGTTCGCTTTGGCACTGTGCTAAAATAATATAGTCATACTAAACACAATTTTTGGGTCCGCTTATGAATTCTGTACTGTCTGACATTACTAGAAAGTGCTGCCCAGCAGTATGTGTAATTAAAAGAGATATCCACTTTTAAAGTTCTTTCTTTTTGTGATAATCCCCATTCTTTACTTTGCCACTCGAGCTTTGTCGACTTCAATGAAAAGCTCGGCCAATTAGGGGTCACTCATTACAATAGCTGTTTTTGGGTTTTTTTGCACTCCACCTTATTGTAGCCTCTCATTCTGGTGTGATTATTCTGGAACCCAATACTGCAAGAGTTAAAGTGTAGGGTAGAGGCTGGCTATCTCTACATTCGTTCGTAGCTTTTGTCTGCTCTACCCAGCAACAGCAAGAAAGGACTATTTTAGAATTAAAGGAAGCAAGTTTGTCATGCAGAATGATGCAAAATGTTTAAATTTTTTATAAAAATGTGCATGCAACAGAATATAGGTAATTAGTTACACCAACATTTTTATAATACACGGAAGTTGACTGTTGGTTGGTGCATGGAGTGTCCCTTTAAATAATGACTCAAATTCCATTGGGATTTCAGCTATGATGAGGTCATTGATTTTACGTAGGGAGAATATGAATTTCGCATTTGCCAGGCAGTACTGTCAAATCGTGTCCTACAGAACGAAAATTCATACGTTTAAAAAAATGGCAAAGTGTCAACTGTATTTCATTAAAGATTTAACAATCTACGAGTCATGTTCTTGTGCATTTACAGCTCTCTCATTTCCTCTGTTATGTATACAAATTCTGTATGGGTGGAAAAATATCTATTTTTATCTACAAAAATTAACACACTCATACAAAAATAATCGTGTGAAATAAAGCTGTGGGAAAAGCACATGGGTGATAATGAATAGATTTTTACTCTATATAAGCTGCGCATGGTATTTTTAACCGCTAGACTATTGACAATCACAAAATTATATACACAGAAGGAAATGTACAAATTCAAAGGATTTGTCAGCTATGAACGCTGATTTACTAAGGGAATTATGAGCTTTTTTCTGGTGTTTTACTGGGTTATTTAGAGAAATTAAACAAAAAAAGGAATGTGCAAATTTGAAGAATTCTAATAAATTAGGGGTTTATTTACTAAATAGCAAATTGGAAATTTTCCATCGAGGGCCAAAAAGTTAAATTTTTCAACTTGCTTATTTTGGATCAAATTTAATTTGAGCACTCGGTAGTTAAAGGGACACTATATTCAGCAGAACAATTACAGCTTAATGTAGATGTTCTGGTGAGTATAGTCAGTCTGTGCAGGCTTTTTAAATTAAATACTGGATTTTCAGAGAAAAGGCAGTGTTTACATTACAGAGTAGGAACACCTCTAGTGGCTACCGCCTACTCTGCCTCCTCCTCCAGAGATGCCGAACTTTCCCCCGTTTGGCTCCGCCCCCAATCCACCTCATTGGCTGAGATAATCAGAATTGACAATCTCAGCCAATCTAATGCTTTCCTACCGGAAAGCATTGTGATTTGCAGAGATCATCAATTCTGATTATGCCAACCAAGGATGCAGAACGAGGGCGGGGCCATATGCGAGTAGCCCTGCGCAGTGCTGGAGAAAGGTGAGTAAATCACCTTTCTAACCCAAGGTAAAGGGTTTCGACCACATAAACAGTGGTTTTAGAACTATAGTGTCAGGAATACACGTTTGTGTTCCTGACACTATAGTGCCCCTTTAATGTCTACAAATCACTCTTTCATAAATAATACCCTGCAGGTATATATAAGTGGGATAAATTAAAGATATTTTGATGTTAACAAATTTAATTTAAAAAGTTTGATGCCTGGGGACAGTCACATTTTCTGATTTCTGCACTTTAATTAACACAGCACAGGTAACATGCCCTGACAGGTTTTTTTAAATATATTATTCGTAGGAGAGCTGCCTTTCTGTTTTATGTTATTAGAAACACACATCTAATAGCAAGGCTTCTTAAACCCTTTGAAGCAATATTGAACATTGCCGCTGGACCAGTTGGGATGGGGTTTGGATCCTGGAACAGACAAGGAAGTCATTTTGAATAAAGGCTATTGGCAGGATCACACAGCATACCTCCCAACATTCCAAACGGACTTTAATTTTAGGGGTGTGAGTGAGGATGAAGCCTGGCAGGGGCTGTTCTGAGAACTTTTATGTGACTTACTAATAACAGTTAATGCAACTAAAATGTAACTTATTACAAGGACAATGTATCTCATTTACACAGAATGATTTCTAAACACATTTATTGCAGTTTAAAGACACATTACTCAGAGTATTAAAGCTTTTGGTGATGGGCGAAACTGATCAGCGGCTGACAAAGTTTATGTTACTGGCAGAACAATATATACTTGGATAACAAAGCTGTGGTCCAGTGACCTTTGCCAATTTCACAGGTTGTCTGTTTTTATTTATGTTCAGGGTCTTAGGTGGGTGGGTGCTGCTGGGTTATAATCCTTTAGTAATTCTTGAATTGTACAAAACACGTCAAGGGGGGGGTAAATGGGTAAATAACGGCTGCTGTTCATTTCTAACTGAGCTGAACCCGTCGCTTTCCACTTGCCTGTATGTTATTTATAAGAAATTAAAATAAAGATTGAACGATTTTATGGATTTAGACCACAGGTATCTCTGTGTTACATTATTACCTAACACTGCAGGAAGCCCCCAAGGATGGATGTCCAATTGAGTGGGTTAAAGAGGACCTGTCACTTCACTGGAAATTACACCATTCAATATCTCCTCTAACATGGGAATAAAGGGACACTGCACTGCTCAAACAAACAAAAAATAAAAATAATTTAATAAAATCGCAATTTACTAGAAATACCCCAATCAAATTTTTTAAATTTAATTATGCATTTTGTTATTGGGGATATATCTAAAAACACCTTGCAAAAGCTGTAGTTCTCTGGTCTACAGGCTTTACAATCCCTCCCCTTCTAACCCCGCCCAGACTTTATGTGACTGTCCAATCACAGACTTACCAATGCAGCTCAATGAGATGTCTTTGCAAGGCAGGTTCTCAGCCTCTGAGCAATTGCTGCCTCTTGAGTTTAGCTCCAATGAGCTAAGCAAACCAGGAAGTAAAAGGACCGATTTGATTGACAGCAAGTAGGGTTTAACAAGGTTAATTTATATTCTATTCACAGTGTTCACACCCAAAGCATTTCAGCATACTAAAGTACTTTAGAGGTCCGGAATGTCTCTTTAACTTTTTTTTTTTTTTTTTTTCTGTGATGCTCTGTTCTTTTTTGCTTTTAACAGTGTATAAAAGATTTAGTAATTGACATCTCAATCCAGTTAAGTCCTGGCACAGCCAGGGCACATATGCATTGGAGGGGGAGATACAGACACGCAGTCTCTGGTTTTCATCCTCCACATACTATGTTCAACGACGGAAAAGTACAGAGCTTATAGCAGTGATTGACGGGGAGCCAATGTGAAGGATCTCAGTTCCAAGATGGCGGTAAATACAATGGTGTGGATTTCTGCATAATATATTTTATTCCGGCTTCATAAACACGTTTGCTAAATATAAAGGATCAGTAAACAAAACCGTAAGAACCCTTGTAAATCATGGTTCCTTTTTAAGTACATATAAACATATAATAAAGTGACCTGCGGAAGGGTGTCCCTATCATCTCCCCATCATCTCCTGGCAAGCCTTGACTCCTGTCCTCTGCTTACGTCACCTGTGAATATTCCTGCAACAATGTACTTTTGAAGACTGTGCAAAAGGATGTGGGGTCATATCTTCAAACACCTGCATATTTCTTTAATATTGTAAACTGCTGCCCTTCATACAAGACCGTACCATTGATGTCGTACGATTGACGATGGGGAAGCTAGTGTCCTCTGCAAAAATCCATAAATATTTAAAGGAACACTAACATTAAAAGTAAACATATTTATTTTGAGTGTTCCTTACTGTGTTTATATTGCCTGCCTCCTTGTTTTATATATATATATATATATATAAATCCCTATGAAAGTAATGGTCTGGTGGCTGCCGGGTTCAGGGGTAGGTAGTTTTACTTACCTGAAGCTAACATAGCAAATATTGCACTTACAGCTACTCTCTGACTGGCTGATGATAGCCCTATCAATCACAACTCTTCCTGAAACAACCAATGAAAGGAAGCTATTTAGTGACCGATGAATACCCTCACCAATAGCACGTCAGAGAAAGGCAGCCAATAGCAGGCCTCCGTGCTTACCTGGACAACATGGCGGAGGAGCCTGCCACTATTCATTGGCTACATTAATTTTTTTTTTAAATGAAGAATGCCCTTCTGTTTTTTGCATTAATGCTTACGTGATGTTTGTCTTGTATGCATTGTGCCTAACGGAAAAAATAAATAAATCAGCAATTCACTTTAAAAATGTTGCGTTTACAAACAGTTGACGTTATTATGGCGATGCTGAGATTTTGCCAGATTAAAATTACGGTGGCAAAATTAAAGTGACAATCCTGCCACAGTCTTTCCATCATGGGCTACCCCCTGCACCTGCTGCTTTAACGATGCAGGCCAGAGCAATGGAGTGGCATGGGTTTACGGTATGCAGTGACTCCTATCACTCGCAGCCAGACTCTGCATAGGATGAAAGGAATTGATGCATGAACCGATAATAGCTGCACTAACGCAGTCCTGTGACATCTGTCTGGGACAGGGGACCATCTTCCACCATAATATATGCAAGGATCACATGTTGCTATGGTGCTTAGAGTGTCTCTTTAAAGGAAATCGAGTGGGGCTATAGGAGCAGTTATATGAGGTGCAGGAGATATAGGGAGGGGAGATAGAAGGGGAATTATAGGGGAAGTATTATTGGAGTAGCTATAAACCCAGGGAGAGATTATTTGGAATTTTAGAGGAGAGGTAATACGGCACACTCACACCTAGGCTAATATCAGCTAGGTAATACAACACTTTCAGCTAAGGGAGGCTGAAAAAGAAGAGTTAGTGGGGGTAGGGTTGCCCAGTGGCGTACTAAGGGGGGGGCGGGGGGGGCGGTCCGCCCCGGGTGCCAGCCGGGTGGGGGGTGCCATGACCAGCCCCGCCGCCCCCCCCCCATGCTGCAGCCGCCCGAGCGCTCTGTAGTGAGCCTCAGGCGGCTGCAGCTTTGCCCGGGCGGTGCGTCCATGAGGGCGGACCGCACCGCCCGGGCGCAGCCTGAGGAGAGGGGCTGACAGGAGGGAGCGCTCCTCCTGTCAGCTCCCTCACTGTAGCGTGGCCGAGCCCTGTATAGTCGGCGGGTACAGGGAGCAGCTGTCTCCTGTACCCGGCCGGACTAACAGGAAGTGCACACACTGTGTGCACTTCCTGTTAGTCCGGCCGGGTACCGGAGACAGCTGCTCTCTGTACCCGCCGACTATACTGGGCTCGGCCACGCTACTACACAGGTAGGGGAGGGGGGAAGAGAAAGGAGAGGGG